AAAATGGCGCGACAAAACTTTCGGTTCAACCTAATATATTAAAAAAGTAATATTTTCATTACCTTTTCATGCTTTCGACTTACAAATTTCAGTTCCGGGGTGGATATGGTTGTTTCTGTTTATGTTCACGATGGAAAAAAAAGAAGGAGTACGTTTTTGCTTGCCATAATACCACAATTGCAACATCGTCAGTGATGAAGGAGGTCAGATGTGCTTTTCAACCGATGGAGTAGGCAGAACGATAAAGCTGAATGTCTGTTTGTATGTCTGTCTGTCTGTCTGTATGTCTGTACGTATCTTCCGAATAGAAAATTCTATTTCTGAACCGATCCGGACCAAACTTGGCACACATATATTTCGGGCCCCGGCGGGTGTCATAGGCTACTTTTCGTCATCGATCGATATCGATTTTATCGGTTTTTTGCAAAATTTGAGCTACGGGGCTGAGAGTTGGCAGAGGGGGGTAATCGAGCATGCTGATTACGAATATAATAATGACAGGGCCGGGCGGAGCCGGGTAAGTCAACTAGTCTTTCAATAAAGCAAATTTTAATTTTGCCGACAGTTAATCAGTTCTAAACTGGAAAGCTGTAGAATAAGGAGGGATTACTGCTGAGCGCTGTTGCTCACAATTTAGTCTCTTCCCATTCTATGGAACAATGTGATTGAGAGCCATTGTCTACCTTTGCGTCTGTTGACGAGCTATGCACGATACAATGAATTCTCGTACTGAGCGCTTCTTTAGTTCGCTAAGAGTCTGAATGACACGATAATTGAAGTATTTTGCTTAGCAAAACCTCCGATGCATACGACACACATTGAATTTTTTGACAACATACACTCCTGCAAACAGACATTTAGGTTTTTCATAGGACTCCCTTATCATTGTCTTACTTTTATAAGTGTTGTGCCTCGTATTCATATCATGCTTGCATATCTCCCGCTCCAATTCTGCTCAATATTTGCGAAAAAAGAAAAAATAGATTTTTACAAGGACTTTGGATAAGGATTTCCTAACTTTTTTCGTTTCCATAATGACGATCCCAGATTTCTCTCCATCCAAGCCCAACTTTCTATTAGGTTGGAAAATGAGCTTTGCAACTCTCTCAATAATTTCTTCTTTCCAAAATTGGTCCACTAAAAGTATTCAAATTTGGCCATTATGTAGATTACGACATAAGCTACAAGCGCAGCTGCTGTTCTGCCGAATTCTGACATCGCGTGAGGTTTACGGTAGGTATATGGTGTAAAAATTATAAAATTATAAAATTCTACGTATTTCGCTGAAGCTTGGCATCCGAGATATCGATTACGAAAACGATATTAAAGGTGGTAAATGCCTTCTTGTAGGATTATTCTAGTTTTGCGATATAGGGTCTCACCCTAAACAAGAAAAGAATGGAAAGTTAGTATTTCAACTTGAAATATGGTACTGACTAGAACAAAAGTGACTATACCCTCCCTTATTTCTTTCTCGCATTGTCTGGGCGCGAACGATTTTTGGATTACAGTTTTGATTAGTTGTTCACTTCATTTGTTTCCAACAGAACATCAACTTTTTCCTATGCCCAATCATGGTGACTTTTAAAAAAGGCTCAAGTGCACAAGAGAAGCAAAACGACGGTCCAACAAACATTAATAATGGGAGGTTCGGTCACTAAACATAGCACAGTCCATGACTGCACTTGCAACATTATCTTTCTCTTTTTAGCTAAAACAATTAGTAATGAAAAAACATTTCTGTAACGTCTTTTTTCCGCCTGAGACTCTAAAATTTCCAAATTATATAATAGCTTTGTGTAGGTTTTTTGTTATCTAATTTCATAACTTCTTAAGAAACAAACAACTTCTGGGGCTGTTTCATGAACGCGATTTTGTTTCATCAGCCGAGTAATTTCAATCAAAAGTACATTCAAGATTATGGCTGTGCAAATGAGTATCTGCTCCGTCAAAACCGAAAGGTCTAATGACTTTTGAAATGTGTTGCACTGAAGCCACTGATTTACGGAAATTCGAAATAGTATAGATGATGCTAATTGAATTTTTACGGACTTCAAGAAATTCAAGAACATCTTCTACAACTTCTCGGTCTTTTCACAAGTTTTCGATTGTTATCATCCTACTCCAGAAATTAAGCGGAATATCTCCAAAGGCTGAGGTGCGCATAAACCCCAGTATAAATGAGCTGAATATAATGTCAGTCACCTCTTCAAGCTTTATGATGTCAAGCTGAACAATCAGAAGAGTGTGCCGTCAAGCGGCACGGTCTGTTCAACGGTTGCCCGTGAGTTGGAGGTAAATTGTAACTTGAACTGCCGGAGACAGTGTGCAAAAACGGAGAATCAGACCGAACTTGCTTGTGAGTAACTTGAGTGAGTAAGTGAGTAGCTTGCGAGTAACACCTAAACATACGTTGAGCTCAACTTAAAGTGGGATGAACAGTTGATACAAACAAGATATTAGAAAACTGATGGTGTCATGAATCAGCGCGCAGGTTCATGCCACCATCAATCAAATTTAGATGGGCCAAGCAGCGGTAGGGTTTCGAGTTATTACATGGGACCTGATATGTAAACACACATTAATTCAAAAAAGCCGGTCATTGCAACGCAGAACAATGACAATATGCTCCTGACGTCATCATGAAACAAAAAAACAACAGCAGAACACTGTGTTGGGCACAACTGGTAGCGAAATAACATCGTCAGCAACAGCGCAAGCGCACTACCGGAAAGAGCGAAATAGTTGAAAAAAGAGCAGACTAACAAAAAGCAGACGCAAAGCCATGGCGATGCGGATGGCATTACTCCAGTTTTCGGGATCTGATTCGAACTGAAACAGACTGTACGAGATATTGGGTTGTTTCAAAAGTTCTACCCGTTTTTGATACCTTTTCTTGAACTGCCGATTTTGGAGGAAGGAAACCATTCTTCAAAACAATGCTTATATCATTCAAAAGCTCTTTTTTTCTAGTTTTTCAGGCATATTTTCGTTTTCGTAGATCTTTGTTCGCTGCATGGTTGCGTACTTTGAAAAGACAGCGAAACAAATGTGAAAATTTTCGTCTTTGCTCTATCGCCGTGAAATCTACAACTAAAAGAAAAAATTTCTTTTAAAACATACATAATGTTTGCTGGAGACTTGTGCTTCGAAACGCTCATCGAGATATGATTTCAGAAAAATTTTGAACCTATAAATTTTTAGCTCAAACATAACCTGTCTTTATGGGCTTCAAGTCGAATAAATCATAAACACGTGTGCAATTGCGGAACTTTTACCTTATATAGTAATAGAGCTAGAACAACTGCTACTAGAAGGACGAAAAGATTTCCTGGTTTGTCAACGGCGAACAAAATCAAAAATGTCAAAAAATTGCATTTCTTGCCGCCTCAGAAAGAGCATAAATGGGTCCTTTCGGATTTTTCAGCACAAAATTTTTATGAAAGAGTTTGATGAAATCCAAAGTTAGCGGTACTGCTCAGTCGACTATGGGCTACACTGTGAGCAGTGCTTGTGCAACTCAGCTAAATTCCAAATCAAGTTATGCTTTTGGAAAGTGGAGGTTCCTACAAGGAGATGTTCCTCGATCGCCTATAAAATCTTCTCCACTGTAACTGCAATAATCTTAAGAAGTGTGCAGAATAGCCAAAGATTTGCAAATTGTAATGCGATTTATAGCAATTGCAAAGATCATTTCTGAGAAGAGTTACGGTGAATCAAAGTCAAAGTGCGAAAACGGGTAGAACTTTTGAAACAACCCAATATTTTAACATAGCAACTGGATTGACGGCACTTTTCCCTTAACCTGTAACTAATGAAGCATGCTTTGAGCTGCTTTGCATTGTACTAGCTTGCTTGAGTTAAAGGTACGCTAGCTATTTTCGATGCAAAGAAATTTGATTTTGGAAAAGCCATTGCATTACGCAAATTTTTGAGTCACAGAATGTCATGAGAGAATGTCTCATAGTAAAGCTTAGCCAATTCAGTCAATCTGGATGAGGCCCTCATTTGTTTCCAAAAGGTGGAACGACGACCCTCCCCCTTGCCATGCTATAGGGTGCAAAGTGAACTGACACATCGCTCGTCTCTGAGATCGATCACCTCACTCTATAATTGCATGATAATGGCGTTCTCAGCGACATCATGGTGCACGGTTGGAAATATCAAATGTCTCGAAACAGAGCTGACTCGTTGAAGGCTCAGTTAAGGTTTTCTTCGGTTGAGATCGACTGAGGCAGCTTCGTTAAGAGTCAATAGAATCGTGCCGTACAGTGTTGAAAAATTCGGTGACGATTCCAGAATGCGCACTTATTATACATTGACTACCTAGGCCGTGCAGAGCAATATGATCTTTTCTTATGCAAACTCATTTTGCGCAGCAAAGTATGAGTTGGATGGAGATTGTCTCTGTTACACGTACTCCATCCTACGCATTAAGGCAGTATTGTTAGGACTCATGCAGCTGTACAAGCTTTCCGAATCCCAATTACAAGCTGTCACAACAAAACATTTTGTTGAAATACTTCATCAAGTACATTATTGAATACACAGTGGAGTAAGAAGCTATCTTTGTGGCATAAAATCTGTGAACACATGATGGATAGAGAAAAATACAAAATTGAGACAGTAAGCAGTTCCTGTTGATGAATTGACATTTTGATGTAGTAAGAAATATTATCAAGAACAATGAGTGCATATGACTGTGTTATTGAAAAGTGTATTCCGAAAATTATTCAACATTGTTTTTTTTTCATATCAAAAGTCAAAAGGTTACAATGTCAGTAACATTACAGAAATGCTGCGAATTTTGGAATAATGTAGTAGAGTAAGTGCACCTTTTGTTGAAGAGAACGAAACAATTTAAGCTGTAATAATGTACTTGAGGTTGCCGAACAAATATACTATATATGTTCAAACATATACTATTTGAAGTTTGTTCAACAAATGCAGATGCATATAAAAATCCACTCTCATGTCAGAAGTGCAGTCTTGTACCTACCATGCTCCGACTTTGCTTTGGCATCCTTGTAAGTTTAAACCTTTCACTTTTGTTTCGTTTGCATTGAAGTGTGAATTTCAGGTAATTTTCGCAGTCGCTCATGCTCATTCGCAGTACAAAGCAGGTCGATGTGGAAACGACAGTAACTTGGATGGATTCAATGTGCCGCTAGAAGAGTATATCAATTTGACATTGGAAGTTACTAAGCTCAAGCAGAGAGTGGTAAGTTGCCACAGTCGGAAAGCAGTGTTCAGAGACTGGAAAACTGCCAACGCTCCTATGTTTTAAACTTTTGACTATGATCTGCAAAATTAAGAGCTGAATCTATTAGCAGCAAAACAAATTTGTTTGAAAATAAAGAACAAAGCGTGAAAGCTTTACGAAAAAACCGCGCAGAAGGATTCAAAAGGGCACGATTGAAAACTCACGAACTACATTTGCATTTTTCTAACTGATTTGATCAAACATTCATTGTAAAAATTGCCCACTATAAAAATTTAGTTGGCATACTGAGCTACCAGCAAGTCCACCTAACCGCACAACTGCCGAAAATGCTCGCACCATAAAAAACAGAAGAAAGTTTGCCAGTTTGGTGCTTTTCACTTTCGGGATTACAAGGGGAGGAAATCCGAAATCGCCTCGACGATGTCGAACATAATCCATATTATCAGATTTGTCTTGTTAAGCTGATTCCAAATCTTTTTTCCATATCTGCTATGCGGCTTTTAAAAAGACGTTATGAGCAATTGAAAGGGTAAACTTCTCAAGGTTTTAATGCAAAATGTGCTCAAAAATTCAATTTGGGATTGCATTTAGCATGGCATTGAGTTACTGAGGTGATATTTGCTTTTGAACAGCCATCTCCCAAGGTTGCGGCACTATGGCATTGCAAATGCTTACTTTTAGCGTTCATAGCTACTTCTAGGAGACTGCACAGCAGATACGAAAGTTGCATTTGGACTTAAATAGCTCAACAAGACAAGAGTAATAGCATTTTGTTCCAAATCGCTGCGGCGACGTAGGATCCTTGCCTAAGAAAATCTAAGCTAATCAATGAAAACTTTTTCTTTGAAATCGGCAGACACAACATCCAAGGCGAAATTGTAATACTCGGCATAATGGCTATAGTCTCGTTTGGCTAAAAGGCGAATTGACTTAACGTGAAAGTCCACTATTGAAGCTCAAGCTAGAATTTCACTATCTGCAACTATTAGGTAGTATCATAATTCTTGTATGGATTGAAAATGCGCTTGTAGCTCCTCTAAAAAATTCTACAAGTTCAATAACGTAGGGTTTGTAATTTGTTGACGTACACTTTTCAAACTCAAAACAAATTTTTGAATTTTTTAAACTGTTTTATAGAAGAAGAAAGTGCAACAATTATTACGACCTAGTAGAGATACTCGCTAATTACAGCAAGTAGTTGTGCTGTTCGTACTAACAAAGAAAGTTGCCTTTGTACACTGTTTTGAATGAAGTTCAAAAACTGTTGTTTTGAGATACAAAAACGTTACCATGATCGTTTTGGGTGTTATTATTAGAAATTCTTGAGAGCGCGACATAGACATTGATGGACTGGTTACGTCACGGAGGAAGTTATCAGCTGTATTCATTTTTAGGAGTACAGCTGCGGTTTGGCAAGAGATGCTCTTAACATTACTAAATCAGAATTCACCAAACATCATATCTTCATTGTTGTAGATAAATATGTGTGGGTCTATTATGTCATGGATATGCCTATAGTTTGTTTGCAGCACATAAGTATTGTTTTTTTCAGAAAGGAGGATTATAGAAAGAATATGGACTTACTTGCTTCAGAATTTTATGGTGAGATTACAGGCCCTCTGCTGGATCAGGTGAGATTTTAAAAAGTTTGGAAAAAGGAATTGGAAAAAGTTTCCGAAACGGTTCTGGATTTTACTTCGTTCAAAAAAACACAGATATTCTTCGTTGCCGACGTTTAAGTCCGCTTTCAACAAAATCAAAAAGCAAAAGCAGTATAAATTCTGGCTTTTGTTGGTGTAGGTATCAAAAATACCAGTTATTTCAGCTGTATCCAAAAAGGTCATTCTTTGGGCGTATATTTGGATGGTTCAAAAGCTTGTTCCGTTGGGGAAGAATGCCTTCGAAATATCTCTTCGGGTGTAATCATGCCAACTCCACTCTTCTGTCTCATGTGAAGGTTATGTGTGCCTTTATAGACGCAGAGTATTAAGGAAACTTTGCTTATCTGTATGGAAATCAAAATCTATGAAATTTTCTATGGAAGTATCCCAAATTTTATGGTCTTAGTTTTTCTCAGGTTCAAGGTGTAAACTAGTATTACTAGCCTAAACACATGCACAATGAACATTTGGTTGGTTTATGTGTACATAACGCAACATACAGTTTTTCACAAGCATCAACTCAACTATTCCTCCAGAAAGCCTTTTCAGCTTTCGCAAAAACACTAAAACCTCCAGACTCTCATCCGTCACCTCTGAGAACAACATTTAAACACATCTATGAAATGAGTTCGCAGCATGGCACTTCTTTGCTCTCAAATCAGATGTATAATGAAAGGGGAGAATTAATGGATGCAAGCCCATATAAGTCTGCAACTCGCTTATTATCGAATGTGTTCGCAGCTCCTACAATGTAGTGACTTACACAATGCCTTTGATCTAGCAATCCGTGGCCATGCTACCAACGTACTATCGAGTTTCACACTTTTCCAGACTAATTCATTAGGCAAAACCTAATGAATTAACATCTGTAGCCCAATTAACTTGCGCTCTTCAAAACTAATGAAGAAGTAAAGTATATAGCACAACAATCCGCAGACAATTCAAATCAAGCACTATCCTTTTTCTCCTTCCAGTTCATTGCTCTCCAGTCTGCCATTACAGAAACATTTTCTTCAGGTGTATGATAAAGAAAAGTAAGGAAAAAAAGTTTAACAAAGTATATTTTGTTTAAAGCACTGATAGACTTGTATATATTACGAAATACGTCCAAGAAGTCCGATCTTGTCCGCCATCTACTGAGGACCGCTTTGTTACGATTGTAGAAAATCTAAACAGCCAATCCAACACTTTAGCGGCAATTTCTGATGTTCCCAAACATGTAGTTGATTCTTTGCTTTCATGATTTGAACCGATTACAAGGAAGCAATCTATGTTCTATTCAAATTCAGCCGCGCTACCTTGGACACTGTTGGTAAATGTCGGTGGTCTATTGAAGTAAAATGAAATTCAGCGCGGATATAGTTTACTCCTTCGAAAACACGCGCCACATCCTAATGTATCTGTCTTTTAAGAAGGCTGACCACCAGGGTCAAGCGTGGGGTGCGGCATGCCACACCTGGGGGGTCGTATTGAGGAGTCGAAAGGGGAGGGGGTCGTAGTTGGGTAATCTGATAATAGTGATAACATGATATTCGTATCATATCCATAATTAGCATGTCAATTAACCCCTGTAGACAAAGTATGAGCGAATTTTGAAGATTCAAGATACATACTAGGCTACCTAAATGAAATGGTCAAATTCCAACATGGTTAACTTTGTTTCAGAGGTGAATTAGCTATCCGTTTTTGCACTCAAGACAATGCATACTCCTTCTTTGTCCAACTCAGGAATCCCGCTTCAGGAGACCTGCAAACTGTGGAATTAGAAGCCAACCAAAATCCCGTTTTTCCCATTTTTTGCTTTTGATCGCTGTGCTTTCACCAAATATTACTTAGAGCTAAGAAGACAAATCAGGCTCCAAACATTCCTATGGAATCTACAAGGTTTAGGCTGTCGATTCCTATAAATACTGTCCGCTAAAAATGTTTTTTTGATATAGTTAATGGGGTGCGGCACACCTCCTTAAAAGCTGCGGCAGCCGCTAACTAACCTGCGTTCAAAATCCAGAAAGCGCTCGATTGCTGGTATGAGTATTGAGCACATAGCTTCTTCTTGCTACATTGGAATTGGAGCCGAACGCCCCACCCATAAGAAAATTATGGCCCTTTCAATATGCCCATTCAGATCAAAATCGGCCGTCAAATTACGTGTGATTGTAAAGTGCAGTCACAGAAAATCGGGCGTACAGCTCTCAAAAATCTGAAAACTCTCTAAAGATGGTGTCCTTCAGAATGTCACACTTTAAGGTCCAGAGGTTAAGAGGAGGAAGAAGGGGTCGTTTGAGGGCTTTCATGGGAGGGGGAGGGGTTTCGAAAGACTTGTGCCTGATCTCTTTCTCAACTCTGGTAATGCTATCTTAGGTATATAGTTCAGGGGGGGGGGGGTCCTATTAAGACAGCAATCAGGGGGGGGGTTGTAACCAGCGATCGTGTGCCACACCCCTTGCTTGACCCCGCTGACCACTTTTGATATTCAAGGATTTTGTGTTACATACGCACAACATGCACAGATCCGTTTCGAAAACCTTTCACGTAAAAAAGTTTTCTCAAGCATCGCAACTTTGGTTAATTATTCAATCATTCGATGCACACGTAATGAATGAGAGCATACAGAGGAGCATGAGAGAAAACAACAACCACGCGTTTCTTGAAAATCCTCAGTGTAAAAAAAGGAAACACAAAAAACCGGCAATGTACGTGTGTTATCGGCATAGATTTCACAACAGACTTCGAGCTACGGGGTTTGCAATTGGGGAAGTGAGCAGATTACGAAGACATGGGGTTAGAGATTTAGCATATAAGGAGACGGACAGAGGAGTGCCGTATAGAAATAGAAATCGCAGTCTTTATCATGGTGCAGTACAAGGCTGGCGAACAGATTTGCCAGCTATACCCGAACAAACATCTATAAGATCTTTCTCTAGCAAATCTAAGCCGCCTCCTTACATTACAAGCATTCTTCTTCTTATTTCATTGGAAGAATAGCGAGAGTTTACCGAACGTAGTGAGCAATTAGTTGGTTCCACCAGCTCAGAAACCATTAGAAGGCAATTCTTCCTGCAATCGTTCTGCCACTGCCCTAGTTCACTGCCGTAATCCTTGCTTGAATGAGATAAGAAGCTCTACCTCATGTACTTTCTCTTCCTTACTGCAGGACGTATGCACAATCTGGTTCCACAAATAGACGTAAAGATTATCTTGCAATTTCATTTATAAAAAGACAAGTCAAAAAATGACTGAACCTTTATAGTCCAGAAGTTTTTGGTTGTTTGTTTGCGAATACATCGAGCGGCACACTAGATTCAACATTCCACTAGATTCATTTAAACCCATTCTTTACTTGTGTCACATTATAACGTGCGTAAGAAGTACAGTTGGTATCAACCCTGGGCTTCATTTTCTACAGCCAATCGCAGCTCGCGCCCCCTTCGTGCGCGTATATCTCGCGCATTCAAAATTTGTCTCACGATCGGGTCGCCGCGCTGAGCTCTTGCACTTGGTTGAATTCGACTGCACTTCAGTCGGGTGTATGCCAAGATGAACGATAGCTGTCAGTAATGACGCGCTGCAGCGATGGGGTGGCAATAACCCATCAACAGTAAGTCACGCCCTTAGGCAGTGGACGAGTTTACCGCGAGTTACAGTACTCAGCTATTAGCCCTCGTCAACGATAGTGGTGACTGAGTGAATTGTGTTGAAGTGACTGCACCTCTGGTTCGTATTCATTGCAAGCAACAGTTTTCATTTCGTCTGGTAAATTAACCATGTATTACCGTATTCAGTTGTATTCCAACGACCTGCACCCTCGTACTCGACTCCCATTCATCATTCGAGGCACTTTATGGTACTGAATTGATAATTCATTTTTGCTATTCCTAATTTACGGAACTATCCTGATACTACTGCTATTCAGTAGTGACTGCACTGTTATTCAAGTATTCTACAAGCTTAAGCACCACACATCCCACCCTATCCACTGTATTCAACTGTATTCCAGCAACCCACAATCTATTTAAATCTATTCAACATACAAAGCACTGTGGTGCCGTACCGCTGAACAGGTTTGTTTATTATTTCTAACTTGATTATTATTGCTTGCGCCATAGCTGAAACCTTAGCAAGATCACTGTGGTAGTTATGTTGTCATGATAACATGAACCCACTAGTGACATGCCAAGAAGCAACGGCGTATTCTGTTAAATTCGAAAGAAATAAAGTGTCTCGCATGCTGGTACTTCCTTGAATTCAAATGAATCACCGATACCTCCCCTCCATTTAAACTTAACATGGCATAAGGATATATCAGTGGAAGAAGAAGCTGAGCATTATCACTACAAAGTTCGAGATATGAAAAATACCAGCGTAGTTCGAGAAGGGAGGAGGTGATATACAGCTGATATGTGAGCGAAATGAAATACTTGGGTGACTATAAGTCATTTACGAAAATGTGGTTGCCGGAAGTGCGTGGGTTTCGCGCGCGTTCGCGCCATAATCACGATTTTTCAAATGCCTTATACTCCAGAAGCCTTGAAGGCATACTGTGAGATGGCCTAAGTAAGACGGCATAGTGTAGGATGTAGGTTAATAGGCCACATAGAAAAGTATATAAGCAGTAATGAATTGGACAAGTAACGGTTTCTGTCATCATGTTTCCTGCTCAGCTTGATATGCTAACTTACGCTACACTACTGCAGCACATGCAAGTGCAGCAGCTGGCAACTTAAAGTCACAATGGTGGGTTCTCTCTCACCTGTTCAATGGCATTATAGAAAACTTTTTTAGCTGCTCAAGAGCCCTCAATTGCGCAAGATTCCTCCGTTGCAGCACCACGTCCTGCTCAAAGACGTCGTTGTGGATACGATCTGAACACTCCACGATTTCCTGCGACCGTTGAGCTGAGTCAACATGGCAAACACCCAGTTTTGCGATATGCGATCCCAGGTAGGGCAGATAAGGTGCGGGAGAAAAAGAAAGATAACCCTCAATGACAGGACACCCACTGTGCTACACATTTGAACATCTGAGAACAAATGCAGCATACCAGGTCTATAGATGCACCGGATGTCGGCTAGCTGTTGTCAGCAAAAACACTATGACAGCGGTGAACATTGAAAATAATTCACATGCTTATCAAATCCAGGTATTATCTAGGTTATTGACAACGAATTTGTCGGTGATCCACTCAGCCTTCCACATTCGTGCATACCGGCGAAGATTGCTGAGGATAAAGTTGAAAGACTAGTCTATAAGGTAGATGGTCCATCAGGTGTGCACAATTTTGAAAATTACACTACAGGAATGCCGTAGAATTCGAGGAGAAAAAAGAGAAGTTGAACTAAGCACGCTTGTCGCATGGCAGAGTATGGAAGACCACATTGAACAGTATGAGGGCGAAGGTATTTTCTGCACTGTTTGGATCCAGATATCAAATAATAAATTTCTGCTTCAGATGAAAATAAGAAGAACGACATGCTTTACTATTACCACAGGGAAGGATTTGTGTCCCGACGAAGAACAATAAGAAGGTTTGTTCAAGTGCGGACACCATGTATGTGCTCGAAACAAGTGTCTTAGAGCAATAAAAGCAACGGAAGATCCAAGCTGCTCCATGGAACATGTCTCAAGAATACACTCAACACTCCGCAATGGCTCCAGATTCTTGCAATATCAGAGCCGCGACCTTCACATGTACTATACAGTGGACACAATTGAAGTATTGTGTTTACAAATCGTCACGCAGATGGACGTCTTCCAGATGGCACAACGTCAGGGGTTGTACGCATTAGTTGCTGACGGCGTACACGACCTACAACCCGACGCCACTAACAAAATCGGGCAACTCTATACCGTGCATGGCATTTGCAGTAACACTCGAGATGTGACACTCTTGTATGCCATCACAACTAAGAAGAACCTCCGCACATACGAGCTGATATTTCAACAATTGAAGGAAGAGCCGGGGCTACCACTAACCTCAGAATTGTGCTCGACTTTGAAAAAGCTTCCATCAGCGCCGCACGTAAGGTCTTTCCTAGCTCATCCGTGGAGGGATGTGGCTTCCACCTCGCCCTTGCTTGGAACAGGAAGAAGGAGGCACTAGGGTTGGGAAGGTACCTGCGCGGAGAGCATGTAGATCTTCAAGTGCTGCGATGGTGGAATATTGTGAAAGGGTTAATGTTCCTACCCTCCCACCTACATAGAAGAGTTCCCTCGCTGCATCGACTCGACCTCCCAAGAAATCACGAAGCCTACGAGAAGTGCGCGGAGTTCCTCACATACTTGAAAACTAACTGGTACGAAGGCCCCTCTAAGGATATGTGGAATAAGTGGAATATATGGGACACGCGCACAACGAATGCAGCTGAAGCTTTTTATCGGTAACAACATCAACATCAAAAGTCTTCAATGTGTACGTCATACTATTCCAGAATGCTTGGAACCCTACTTCGCTGCAAGTACCCAACCATGGCCAAACTTCTGCGGAGGTTGAAAAGTTGCAAGAACAACGCAAAAGGACATCTCTTAAATTTGGAGCGAGTAAGTTACGGTTTGATTTGGCGCACGCAACAATACAGCTAAGGCCTAGGGCATAGTGTCCACGATACCGTCGCGCTGCGATTTCTAAATTACGACAACTGTTACGCACTCATTGCATGTCTCTGTGTCTGCTACGTCGCTTGTGATACTCGTCCGGCGCGACGGATCGCGGACCCTTTGTAGCTAGGGCATAGTTCTGCAGCGATAATCGCCGCGATTTCGGCAAAACCCGGCGATGTTGCGTCGCGCGTGCTGCACGGCGACTGGGCGATATCGCTGAGGTGCGGGGGACATCTTGAGGATTTTTTTATAGACAGGCGCTGATGTTTCAGTTATTTTGGTTTGAAAAGAAATGGAACTGTTTGAACTAGATGTACAAAGACACTTCTAACTTTGACGCCATTTCTTAACCTTAAATTTTCGGATGACTTGTTTTTCGAAAGTGTAAGCATTTTTGACGAAATGGTTTTTTGGATTGTTTTCTGGGTGGTTTTTGAGTTGGAGTCTTTGCTTCTCGCAGAGTTAATACATTATCACTCTGCTTATTTGCATATTCTTACGTTTCGCTATCCGTATAAGAACAGAATTCTCCTCCTTACTGGTGCACCAATACCAAACGTTTATGCTTGTGTTTTCGCTATCTTCGTAGTGATGCTGTGCTCGACTTTTTGAAAAGGTGTTTTATGTGGGTCTTTGCTGAAGCACTGCAAAATCCACTACTGGTTGTTTCACCTATAAATTTGGTGAAGAGTGTCTTAATAGTAGCTGTTGGCTTGCAAAGGCCGACACAGGTTAGATTCACTATGCTGAGAACTGGTAAGCTCGTGAAAATTGGATTTGTTGAAAGGTGGGCAAAATGTGAGAATTCTTTGTACAGGGCTTTTCAACCTGAGAGTTGCAAGTTTCGCTTGCGCGGCTCCTTCAACGCGGCCGCCTCGCTCAGGCCGCGCGCGGCGTTTGCTGCGTATCGCCCGGATTTCGCCAAGCTTCAGTCGACGCACAGCCAGCGCCACGAACGCTGCGCGGACCTAAGCGTGGCGTCCTAGCGGGGCGGGTGGGACACTCAGGTTGTAAAGCCCTGTACTCGATTTCATCACGATCTGCGTAAGGGATCTATGCTGAGAGTGAAGTGAGTGGAATAACGCATATCGTACAAGAACGGTCTGCTCAGTTTGCGTGCACCTGCCCTGTGTATGCAAAGATACGAAATCGCGCGCACTATGCCCATGCACGCGCGACGAACGATTTCATCGTAGCGATCTCGTCGCCCAAACCACCGATTTTCCCGGCGATGAAATCGCGGCGACGAAATCGTGGACACTATACCCGTTGCCTAAAGTGTTGCAGAGACCTCGTGATGCAAGGAAGTTGAGAAAGAGGGACATCCGAAGGCGAGAACGGATCAGAAGAATGATGGAACGATATAGGCCATTGTTTTCGCACAGAAACCCTATGAATGTTAGCACCAATAGGATAGTCCACTACTGTGAGCGTATGGCAAAGTTTGTAACAAGTAAAGCAAACTGATATCCACTAATAAGACTAATAAGAAAATAATAAGTAATATTACTTGATTACCTTGCCTTACTGCGCATTAGTTGACGTTAAAATGTGATTGATGTTGTTTTTCCCCCTATCTGGTGATATTTCTAAGTTGTTTATTTGGTATTGCTATTGCATAAATGTCGAAAGTTTGTATCACAAGTCCACAAGAAATTTATGTATACAAAATGGGCAACATCAATCAGCCATCCAAACAAAAAAAATTACACAAACATCAAACAAGCAAATAAATTAGATTACAAAAAAATTACAAAAAACAAAAAAGACAAGTGGAAAACAAAATGTGTACAATGGAGTCAATAAAAAACTAACCCTGGCAAGCACCAGAGTGGATGCTTCACAATCGTAGTCGTTGTCGTGGAGTGGAAGCATCTAGAAGAGCAGTAATGAACTTATTGAAACAAGAAAACCCGCACTCTAGAAAAAAGCCGCTGGGTACAAAAAATGCACACTCACCGAGATCATCGATCACTGCTCAAAATTGAAACTCGCAAAATTGGAACCCGCATCTAAAAAGGAACGATAATTACATGGTCGACAACATGTGCATCAACAACACCAAGAGATTCGAAAATAAAACAAAGGATACGATGTTCAACCAACACAACAAAAATTGACACTCACCGTCCATCCACTTCGGTCCTTGGTTGGACTATTAAGACCTGCAAATGCAAGAATGTAATAATGATGCAGAGCAAGCACGAAACCAACAAGAACGGCGAGGCAAGACACAAGCAACCTTGTAGGCACCGAACAAGTGCTTGTGAGCACGATGAAAGACAGAAATTAAACGGAGATAAGAAAAACAACGAAAAATAGTAAAATACGATGAATGGCGTAGGCAATTGATTATTTTAGGTAACTTGCAACGGGCAGTTCGCAGTCGGGACCCGCGCTGCGCCCTTTAAGCCGCGCCGCGAAGCTCTCGCGCGCGTGCGTTACAGCTGTTGTGGGAGGAGCCCCGCGCTGAGGGCGTACGGTAGCCAACTGGCGGCTGGCACCTGCTATCGTTCATCTTGGTTGCCCCCCCCCCTTCAGTCTAGTGTGCTTCCTAAAACGATAGAGAGGACCTAAAGTTTTTTGATTTTTATATGTAGAGAGACCTGGGGATAAGACCAAGATAGGTTTGATTGAAACGGTCATCTTTCGTTCAATTGAACAAGTAATAACATCGAGCAGGATTATGAGCGCGCCACAGCAATTGAAACGTGATTTTTTTACCGTGGTTATTAAATTAAACTGGTGTGCATTACCCCCTCTTCTTTTAAAAACTACACACTTATCATAGGTCAATGACTCAATACTTTGTCATCTACATCTCGACACGCTTGCATTCTTAAGGTGCCTTCATGGCTCTCAACAGTCGCCGTCAGCAGCCTGTAGCCGTACAGTGACTATTCGGTAGCTGCCGCCAGCAGCCTGTAGCCGCCGGTTGCCCTTGTTATCACAAAAGCACATGATTATTAGATATTTACTACGCTGCGTGCATTCGCCTATGCTTTTCATCTTCCCTAGCTTTTCTTTCCTGATCCAGCCAATATGCACTTCGACTCTCACACAGCACATCCGTGCTTCACCGCTTCGCAAAATTTAATATTATTTCCACCTCGTTGGCAGTAGTTTGTTTAGTAAAGTCTATAAAAATTCAAATAAAATGGTGCGCGATCGGTGATGAACTAACGATGGATCAGGACAAGTTAAGGCGCAATTAACAGCATGCGATAACTGAATGGATCTACTATGCTGATACAATCAAGCATATGCTATGCTCATGTAAAAGAGCTCGCAATAGTAAATTGTGGACACCGGTAATATTTCCAGTCTACGGCAACAAGATAACGAAAACATTGAATACAGATGTAAGGTGTGAGAGTCGATCTGCACACTAACGGAATTAGGAAGGAAAAAGCTTGAAAGATGAAAAACGTAAGGGATGCACGCAACATAGTAAATATATTTTATGGTAAGAGAAGCTGTCAGCAGTGGTTATAGGCTGTTGACGGTGACCACGGGCACGGTACGAAGGCACTGTATGAGGTTTGTGCACCTCATTCAGGTTCTGTGCGCGGTAGATTAGTGACATCTATCTAGACATTAATGATAGCGATTCTGTGCAATTGCGCGAGGTAGAACCGAAGCCTAATTACCGGGTTAGGCCTCGGTCATGCCTAGTGTAGTTTTCTCCCATAATACGTAGAAAACTAATGCATCGATATTTACCCATCTTTGCCAAGACACTATCGATAGCGATTCTTCGCAATTGCGCGAGATATGACCAATGCCTAATCAACCAATGAAACGGGGAGGAAACCTATGCATCGATGTTTACCCATCTATGTCACATGTACGCTCTGATTTCGATTTGTACCACTCATTGACTAGTAGTTATGTTCAAACACAAGCTGAACAAAGCAACATGTATAATGGGTGTAATTCCAGATAAGAAGAACGCACAATCTCATATTCTCTGAGTTAATATTTGTGAGAGTATGCTGCTGCGTCCTTCTTTCATCATCTTTGTACGTTTTGTAAACCTTTGAGACCGTATCAACTAAAATTTACTATTGTTATTACTAATTTACTGTTATTTACTATTAATTTATTTACTTTTAGGCGATATCTGTCGTTGCTTATTCGAAGCATTACAATGCAGGTCGTTGTAATGACTCAGAAGATGCACTGAATTTATTGAATTTAGCGCTAGAGGAGATTTTCAATGCTACCCTGCCAGTTTTGCGTGTTCATAAGAATGTGGTCAGTTTGCAAATTTAGGAAGGCATTTCAGAAAGCAGTATTTTGTAATCATTCGTCGGGCTGAACTCAAACTCTAAAATGGAGTTTGACATAAAATGACGTAAATGATGCATTTTGTACTTACGAAAAAATGTACAACTTCGGCCACTCTTTGTATTGGGTACAACCAGCGTCATGATAAATGAAGGGCACGCGTATCAACTTAGAGGCTTCTTGTTTTTTATCGCATTTGTTGCAAAGAACTCAAATTGTCCTAGTCGCATAAATATTGGCTGCTAGCATTTATTTCAAAACAGCTAATTCTACGAAGAATCGTGCAAGATTTAGCTATTCTCTGGTTTCGTCGCAAAAAAAAGCAACTCCTAATCAAAAAATCGACGCCATTTTCTTGCAAAAATTTTTCCAAATACTCAAAACAGTCGATACGAGAGCCAGTTTCATACAAAAGAACATGGAAAAAAATTGGGAACATGTTTGACGGTTCCGCTGTCATCAGTAATCTCAATGGTAATTATCGACAAAGACTCTCAAAGTTCAAACCCCTTCATTTTGATAAAAAGATATGAGCAGCAGGAAGAGATGGTGCCAGTAAATTTGAGTTTTAAACATCCACTTCCAGACGTTTAGCTGCGAATTGGCTAAGGCAGTCAGGAATGGGTTGGGTAAAGACAGCGATCCTGATGTTTTCGTTATACCAGATATACGTGTATATAGGTACAAATCCAGAAACTATTTTCTTCGTAATACAATTACTGTCTTTACAGAAAACGACCAGAAATCCAACTGGTTGCAGTGGAGGTCTCAAGTTACGCCATATATGGTTTCATGCAAAAGGTAAGATTTGAGGAATATTCGGTATATTCGATGAAACTTTCTTCTGAGGTGTGTAGTGCGGTGTAGCTTCTGAATATGATACAAAAAAAGATTCCGTATTGAGTTTTTTGTTTGCAAAGTCAATGTAGTTTGTTTTATGGGTTCCTTCATACTACGCCGCAGGACGCAGCAGCCTGCCGTAGCACGCGACAGTACGCAGATGCAGCCGCGTCCTGCGGCGTGCGCCGCTGTAGTTGCAGTGAAAACATAAGCTCGCTTGCTACGAACCTCTCGGAGAAAACGAACGTGCAGCAAATATAGATGTATAGGCTGCTGCATGACGAACGCGGCTTTATTAGCCGCAGAGCGCAGGAGGCGCAGGATTTACAACGGTAAGGGTACGCGCGCGCCGCGTTCGCACCCGCTTAATTAATACTTCTATCGCGCCTTCGTCATGCAGTAGCCTTTACATCCATAACCGGCGAAGCCGTGCTGCCGTGAGCGTATACTTTCATTGCGACTTTAGCGGCGCATGCCGCAGGACGCAGCGTGCTGCGGCAGGCTGCCGTCCTGCGGCGTAGTATGAAGAAACCCTACCGCAGCTAACTTGCTCAAAACCATAGAGACGAAATTTTGTCCTACATTTTCTTCAGAACATTGTTTAGTTGAACGAAAGCAAAGGTCGATAATGTACTCTCATATTCAATTCTTCGGATAAATTTTAATGGAAAAAATATATGTAATTCCAGGTAGAACCGTCGTTGTATGAAAGCATATTACAATGGTTTGGGTGTTATTCGAACTCAAATTATGTTTTCGGATGCGATTATGCTAATTTCACCACGCCTGAGGTAACATGCGCGTTTCAAGAATTGCCTCACTGACTCATATTGTTTCAATAAATGTTTTCTATTCCGTACGTATACGTGCTCCTAACACATAATTTCTCAATTTCATAATTTTTTTGAAGCGAATTTGGCATTTACTTCTAGTTCGCAAATAAAAATAACTTCGCCTTTTATGTGCAAGTTGAGGTAGACACATGATAAGAGTCACAAATAGGAGCATGCGAATGCACACAAATTTGCGACTCAAAAATTTATATAACTGTGTGAGGAATCTATAGTGTACTTACAAACGAGAATTACTTGTTTCAGAGGCGTATTGCGTGAAGTACCGAAACTTATGACGCTAGATTTGATTTCATTAGGGGCATTGAAAAATAACAAAGCTGCTTGATTTACTCTAACTATAGGGCTTTTCACTTCGCTCAACAGTAACCAGCAGCTCAGGTAACGCGTTATTGCTCCTCTGATACAATCCTTGCAGAGGCGGCGCTTTGGAAATGTCGACGAATAAAGTAAAATGTTTTTTTGTCTCTCTGGGTGTTGCACCTCTATAGGACAAGATCACCGCTTTAGGCTTCTTTAACTGCCTGAAAAGAAAACTCATTTTTCTAACAAGGAGAGGATACTTAGTCGAAAGCACCGATCCAAATGAGACATACATCATCGTGACCCGTTCGGAGCGCTGATTTCAAATCTGGCAAAATCAGCTGCGGAGCGCGTTTGGGTGAGGAGCTATGACCATTTCAAGAGCCAAAAACTGAATGGGTAAAGAGAGTAAAATTGATTTTTACAACATGTATATTTCGCAGATAGACTCGCTCTAAATGTGAGTATAGCAGACAGACATTCTTCTTTGCGCAGAGTAATCTGACAGACATCATTCCCCCATTCGAGCCCAACTGGAGACTTCTGCGTATATTTTTTTCTTTCCTCAACTTCAAATTTTCTTCACAAACACAACCATAACTCGTTGCCCAAAGGCGCTCCGCAGCTGATTTTGCCAGATTTGAAATCAGCGCTCCGAACGGGTCACGATGATGTATGCCTCATCATTGGTGCTTTCGACTAAGTATCCTCTCCTTGTAAGTGGAAAAGCAAGAAAAATCAAAAATATTGACTCTGCGCAGCAAATTACAATAATCATATTGTAGTCTTGGTCGCCAAAGATAGAGGAAACTGAGGTAAATCAAACTGCATTGCAAGGAGGTTTAAAAAAGTCTCCTTGTCAGAAATAACCAGGTAGCATGAATTACTAACATGAAAGGAATAACCACACATTTGGTGCAGATGTCAAGACTATATCTCCTGACTTGCAGCGCTCCCATACCGAGCTATTACAATTTCGGTGACTGTTCTCTCCATTGCACCACTGATAATTGGATATCCACATATTCTAGTGCGCAGAACTGCTTAAACATAATTACTAAAAGTGATTATCTTAATATTTTGATAACCATAAAATTCTTACACATGCAATGACCTATAGGTATCGATTAAACTAAAAAGTGTTCTTTTTTTATCAGCAGTGGATTATCTAATTACCCTCTTTTTTGAAAAAGCTGGTCATTTTGAGGATTTCTACTTCAAAATTGCCCTTAATGCTTTGAATTTCCCCGCCGAACGTTTTTAGAGTTGTGCAACTATCTATCTGAGAAGGCCTAGTTGACTTTCATAAGGCCGCTAAGACATATGACTCCATTTATGTATCCCTCCCTTATTACGAGCAGGAATGCATCTACACTGCAAGAAATTTTTGGCCAACAAAGAGCCGGAAGTCATTTCTCGGCTTTTTATTGACAAACGATGATAGATGAATTTCCTACACTAACGATGAAGGCAATGAAGACTACCTCCAACGGCCCGGGCAGGGCTTGGCACAAGTGGCTTATAGGTAAGCTTTGGTTCGTTTTTAGGGCAAAAAGCAAAGAGAATACAGTTTTTGTGAGGTTTGAGGGGGAAGGGAGGGAGCGCCTAAAAATGCATGTGAAGGCTGCATGACGAAGGCGCAATAGCAGTATCAGCTGAGCGAGCGCGAACGCGGCGCGCGCGTATCCTCGCTGCTGTGAGCCCTGCTCCTCCTGCGCTCTGCGGCTAATAAAGCTGCGTTCGCGCCCAAAAATATTACGCCTTCGTCATGCAGCGTCCTATAATTAATAAGTTGAGCATTTCCTCTTTGTTAGTACAATACCGCTCTCATAACCTGCAAAACAAATGCCGCGATGTTTCGTGAACTTCGCGAAAGTCCGCGGAGTTCCCAGAATTCCGCGACATTCACTGAGATTTGGCAGGTTCTGAAAGCTGTATTGTAGGATGCCGCCCTTATACCTCCTTCTCACATGCTATCATGCAAAAAGTGAAATTTTCGTCGAGGTAGTCTCGAGAAAATTATAGAAACTTACTTTGGTGACTTAGGCATTTTCATTCTGCTCGCATTTATTCCAACAATCAATCAAACGATTTAGTGAAATGAAGGGTAAAAAAGGAGTTGATATGGGAAGTTCAGAAAAAACCTTATCGGTTTTATTTGCAGAAAGATACAAATTAGAAATTGGCATACATAGACGACAAAGTAATATGCCGTCTGTATTTATTTCGAATAGACTTTGTTGGTTTAGATAGTCTTAAGGTCTCTGGATCTGCTCTATGCCGGACACTAGTTTGCATACAAAGATTGTTTATAATCATGTCGATTTACAGGCCCTCTGCTGGATCAGGTGAGATTTTGTGCCAGTGAGCAGACTTATAGGGTCAAACAATAGAATTTAAGAAAATTTCCAAAAGAGTTTTGGTTTTAACATCGTCTAAAAACACGTTGCAGAAGTTTTCGTCCCCTTTTCAAAACCAAAAAGCAAAAGCAATTCAGATTTTGGCTTCTGTTGGTGTAGGTATCAAAATATCACTCATTTCAGTTGCACCCAAAAAGGTCTTTCTTTGGACGTGTACTTGGATTATTCAAAAGCTGGTTCAGTTGGAAAAGAATGCCTTCGAAATATCTCTTCCAGTGGCGGACCGAGGGGGGGGGATTTCGTCAGAAATTTCGCGCTTCCCCAATGACTCACGGAATTTTTGAAATTTACTTGCATGACTAACAAAATTGCGCAAGTGACTTGTTTATACTTGTAAAGAGTTAAAATGGTTTTTAAAATTTTCAAAAATTTAATTTAGCCTTATAAAAAATATTTTTCGGGGTGTGGCGCCAGCCACGAATTCTGGGACCGCCACTGATCTCTTCAAATGTAATCATGTCAGTTCCACTGAACTTGAGCTTTTGTGAAGGTTACGTGTGCCTTTGTAGACGCAGATTGAGCAAAGTTTATTTATTTGTATGGAAATCAACATCTGTAAAATTTTCTATGGAAGTGTCCCCAAAAATTTCATGTTCTTAGTTTTTCTCAGATTTGAGGTGTAGATTAGTATTACTAGCCTAAACATATGCACAATAAACGTTTGGTGATTTATGTGTATATAGCGCAACATAAAGTTCCCTACAAGTACCAATTCAACTAATTTCAGAGAGGCTTGCCGACTTTCGCGAAAGCAATGAAGCTTCCAGACTTTTATCTGTCACCACTGAGAAAAACATTTTAACACATCCAATGAAATCAGTTCGCAGCATGGCACTTCTTTGCTACTCTCAAATTAGATGTATAATGAGAGAGAAACTAATGGATGCAGGCTTATATATGGCTGAAATTTACTTATTATCGAATATGTCTGCAGCTCCTGCAATGCAGTGAATTACGTAAAGCTTCTATTCTAGAAATATGGCTACGTTATCAATGTACTATAGCGCTCCACACCTCTCCAGATTAACACATTATAAATCCGATAAAGAAATATAATTTGCAACCCATTTAACTTGCACTTTCTAGAACTAAAGAAGTAAAGAATTTTGCACAGCGCTGTTCGTAAACAGTCGCAGATAAAGCACTACTCTTCTGCTCCTACTCACTTTAATCTGCCACTGCCACCACAATTTTCTCCGAACGTCTGAACAAGAAAACTAGAGGAAAAGGTAAAAACGTAGAACTTTGCTCTGAAGCAGTGATAAACTTATATAAATTACGAAATGTGTCCTTGAAGTTCAACTTTGTCTACTCTTCTAAGATCTCTTTGTTACTACACAAATTCTAATAACAATCTCAAACAGTTAAACAAGCATTCCAGCTGCACTTTTTGTTGTTCTTAACATGTAACTGATTCTTTGCTTTTGCTTTCAAAATGTTTTTGAACCCCTCACGAAGAAGCAATCTATGTTATGCTGCACATAGGTGCGATGGGGGGAACAGGGTCCTCTCCAGGTGAAGGAGGTTTTGGCTATTTCCGACCTAGATACGACGCAGGCGGATGCATGCAACGTAGTAAAAATATTCTATGATAACAAAGCGGCCAGCGGCGGCTGCAGGTTGTTGGCAACGGCTAGTGCGGTTGAAGGCCTTGTGAAGCCAGTGCCCCTTCTGTGACCGGGGCCTAACCCACCAACGAAACGGGAGGACAGCTTATGCATCGATATTTACTCATCCATGTCATTACATGCCCTAATTTCGATTTGTACCATTCATTGACTCGTAGTTATGTTCAAACACAAGCTGATTAAAGCAACATGAATGGTGGGTGTAGTTTCAGATAAAAAGCAATGCACAAGCTCATATGGAGTTGAAATTTTCACAAGTATGCTGCTTCCTTTCCTTACCGTCTTCGTAGGTTTTGTAAATCTTTTTCCTAAGACTGTAACAAATTGAATTATGAAACTTTTTAGGCAACTTTTGCGGTTGCTTATTCGAAGCAGTACAAAGCAGGTCGTTGCAACGATACAGAATATGCACTGAATGCGTTCAATCTAGTGCTAGAGGAGTTTTTCAACGCTACCCTGCCAGCTTTGCGTGTTCATAAAAATTTGGTCAGTTTACAAATCAAGAAGGCACTTCAAAAAGCAGTACTTTGTGCGCATTTCATGGGCTAAACTCAAAATGGTATAGGAAATGGATATAGAATGACGTAATGCATTTCGTACCTACGCTAAAGAGTACACATTCTCACCACTCTTTGTATTGGCTACAGCCGGCGTGATGGGTGAAGAGCGCGTAAGAACTTAGAGGCTTCGAGTTTTTTGCCTATGTTATAAAGACAAATTTATCTAAAGCGCATAAGTGATAGCTGCTAGCTTTTTATAAGAGAGTTAGTTACACAAAGAATCGTGGGTAGTGTGCAATCTTGGCTATTTTTTGGTTTTGTCGCAGAGAAAAAAGCAACGTCACAAACAAAAAATCTACGCAACTTTTTTGCAGAAAGTTTTCCGAATATTGAAAACCAATCGATACGAGAGCAATTTCATACACTGCGAACATATGTCTTCTGCGCCCTTGTCAATAATTCCCCCATTGTAATCTACAAAGACTCCCAAAGTTTAAACCTCTTTATTTTGTTTAAAAATATGAGCAGCAGGAAGGATGGTGCCAGTTGTTTTGAGTTTTGAACATTTACTTCCAGACGTTTAGCTGCGAATTGGCAATAGCAATCAGGAACGGGTTGGATACTTTAGAAAACAGTACTGGTGACGTTTTCGCTATACCATTTATACGTATGTCCAAAGTCCGTCCGTATAGGTACAGATCCAAAAAACTATTTCCTTTGTGACAGAATGGTTGTTTTTGCAGACCACGACCAGAAATCGAATTGATTGCAGTGGCTGTCTCTAGCTACGTCATAAAAGGTTTCACGCAAATGGTAAGATTTAAAGAAAACATTTGATGGAACTTCTTTTTGATAGTGTGTAATGCGGTGTAGTTTGAATATGATATAAAAAAGTTTCCTATTGAGATTTGTTTGCAATGTCAAAGTAGTCCGTTCTACCGCAACAAAATCGCTCAAAACCATAAGACGAAATTTTGTCTTAAATTTTCTTCAAAAGATTGTATAGTCGAAAGAATATAAAGGTTGAATTATAGAAGAAGTATATGTATTTCCAGATGATACCGTCGTGGTATGAAAGCATATTACAATGGTTCGGGTGGGATTCGGACTCAAATTACGTCTTCGGATGCTATTTTGCTAATTTTACTGCACCTGAGGAGGTAACTAAATGCGCGTTTCAAGAATCGCCTCATTGACTCATATTGTTTCAATAAATGTTTTCTATTCCGTGCAGATACGTGCTCCTAACACATAATTTCTCACATAATTTTCTTGAAGCAAATTTGGCGCATTTACTCCTAAGATCAATTCGAATCGAATAATATTTGAATACCATCATTCGACTTTCGAATGTTATTCGATTTTAGAATATTATTCGAACAATTTGAATGTATTATAATACAATATTATAATAATAATATTATAATACAATCTATAGTGGAAAAAAAGGTTTATGGGTGACACTATGATAAATTCCTACTCCTACGACGGTGTTGCTGAAAATAAAAATTTGAAGAAGATCGTTGTTTTAGATCGTGGCTCTATAAGTAATGAAATCAAGCAACTACTGCGCCACAGAAAGTCTGCTGTCCTGCACACATATCAGGGCCCGGCATGAGTTTGTCAAATGACAAGCTGGAAACGTTTTGGGCAAAAAAAGCAAAGGGGAAAAAATGGTTGTGCACGTTCTCTGCTTATCTTAGCTTGTTATGTGCCTCGACAGGCGAACACTGGAGTTCGCGCGCGTCAAATCGCGCCGTCGCTAATTGCCGCACGCGCGACGTCGCTCAAACTATGCTACTCGTAACAGCATACATGACTAGTACTCAATGTATGCGTAACCATCTGGCACCAAAATTTGTAAGCCAACGGAGAGAGGCTAATGGAAACAAAGTATGAAAAATTATGGAAAACTTATGTGAACGGAACGAGTAATAAGCATTTTCCGAAAATTTTGCAAAATTGGTAAATGAATGTGAATTCAATGGCTCGTTTGCAACGCGCAGATGACGATATGGTATGAAACTTGCTACGTACGTGGACACAAGCCTGTAGGAGTTAACTTAGGAGTTTCATTGAAAAATTATGTGACTGAAGGTTGTGGCAAATTTTCTGAAAATTTCCCGCTACCCAAAAAAATGGAGGAATGGCTCGTTTGCAACGCAGAGGCGACGAAATTGCGCGGGATTTGGTGTGTATATGCGCAGTGGGACTAAGTAACAAAGTATGAAATATTATGAAAAGCTTATGTGAATGAATACCGTGCTTAACTTATTTCCAAATTAGCTTGTCATTTAACAAGCTAATGACAAGCTGAGCTTGTCAAAACTCTCAATTCAAATAATTTTTTCAATATTTTTACATAAATCTACTCTACACCTAAGCATTAATATACTGAAATTGTGGTTCCAAAACTCCTCCTCTCCCCATTGCTAGAGGCAAAAATAGCCTCAGAAGCTTGTTTCCTAAGGAGGAAAGGCGCTCTAATCGTACGGCGTATCGCTGAGTCCTTCAATCGGCGTTCATATTTCGCCACTTACTAGTTTCCACTTGCTGATTCTTACTGCTCTGCTTTCTTGAGAGTTTCAATGACTTGTTCTAGGTTTCTTGGAGCTGGTTTTTCAAAAATCGAGCAGATGGCGAAGATAACTAATCGTTTGAATAGGCTGAAGCAGTCACTTAACACCCAGCTAGCCGGCATTGGAAAGCAGTCTTTCAGGTCTGTCAACTACTGTTTTGGCTAGCTCTCATGCTATATATCCCTGTTTTATTCCCTGTTTCAGTCTCTGATCATATTGGTTTTCTTGTTCACTTGTGGCACGCCTTGTGCGTATCAATTAAATAGATAAATAGATAAAAATATCGTGATATATTAGGCTGGCCAGCTGAGCGAAAGAGTCACGGATATGTCTCATGTGGCAGCTGCACTGGAGGGGTCAGCAAAAGCTAATTTGCAAATGGTTCATTGATCAGCAGTTGGCCGAATATGCTGTACTTTACGCGGAATATGAAGAAGGTGCATGGTTGGACAAAATAGAGGAAAGGTGCGGTTTCCCAGCTTCATTGCTGTACTCACTTTATCCATACCATCATTTTTTCATCATAAATGAGGAATGATTTTCAGGTATAAATGGTACGTGCGAAAGCTCACAGACTTTGAGAGAACTGGGCTTTTTAAAATACTTCCGCCTGACTGGGATATGGGGTCGACTGATGACGAGGGAATTTTGCAGTATCACCAGGTTAGTTGCACATCCAATAGTCTCTTTTGTTTTTTTCATTTGTTTTCAATATCATGAGTTTCAAAGACGTCTTGTATCGTATGATGAGTAGGCGGCGGCCAGATTTGGATTTTCGATTACTTGGTCATGGTTTTGGTCATGCCAATCAGCATACCAAAATGTTTGAAGCACTACTTACAAAACAGAATTCTAGATCTCAAAAGACACCGGGGCTACCGTAACCGGGAAATTAGGCGTCAAAAGAAACTCAAGGTCCGTAGCTGCACCAAAAGTCAAATTTGACTTCATTTGACGCCTAACTTCCGGTTGCGTCCCTGCCTCTGCCACTAGAAAAGCGTTGTAATTCTACAGGCTGTTTATCTGCCGTCCTACCTGACGATTAGTGGTTGGGGAAACTTCTACACTTGTTCTACACAAACTTCTTCTTCTTGTTTTCTTGTTGTTTTGTGAGCTCATTGCTGTGGAAATTCCCATTCTTGTTACATGAGAATATCAGTGGTAAGGTTCCTCTTGCCTCTGAACTGCAAATGCTGTGGAGAGCCTCTGGCTAACATATGTAGATCCTCGCATGTATTAGATCTCATGATATGTGAGGCTTGAGACTAGCCATAGCTTCGCGGTATAGAGGCAAAACATTCGGATTAATCGGCTTTGGCATTTTGAGGCTCGGATTCTGGAATAGCATCTGTTGAGAAGCAATAAATTTAGTTAAGGAATCTGAATGCCGTACAGTCTTTTTTCTTCCGTCGTTGCGACTTCACTACCTATCCTTGATTTATCAAGAACACACGTGCTATTGCTTGCGGATGATATCGCCCTTCGATTCTCTTGAAGCGTTCTATTAGGTACATTTGTTATGCGTTTCTCCTTTTTTGACGCGTTTAGTATTGCTTTATTTTTGTTTTGTAGATTAATAATACTCACACTTTTACACGTTCCTAACGACTCGGGCCAAATCTTGTGAAGGTAAGCCTTTCAACCTCATGTTATTGTGCTTTAACGACTCACAAAAGTGCAAATTAAAAGCTATGATTTTTATTTGAGCTGTGGGCACTTCGCAGTTGATTAGTAGCTTGCAGGTTTGCTCATCTTACAGTGAACTGGCACCGGACTTTGCAGATCGCACAGCAAGCACTCATCATGGAAGAGCGTGGATCCAGCAGCGGAAGTACCCAAAGGTGCGCTTACATCATGTTATAGATAGTAGTCATAATCTAGGCCGGCATCAAATTTTCTTTCAAAAGGAGATTACCAGAGATTGGAAAGTATAAGTTTTGGTTTAGTTGAGTCGAGCTGTGACTAGTTTGCACAACAGAGTTGCCGTAGCGGCCCGTATTCTACTATTCATATTAGGAACCGGTTATACTATTCCTGTCTGCAATTCCTGTGATTCCTGCGGGTCCCACAACAATGATCTTGCGAAAAAAATTGAATACTGGAATTTGCAAAGGCTCCGTAGTGCGATACGGAATTCGAGGAATCACAGGAACCGCAGGAATCACCTTCTTGGAATATTATGGCCGGTCCCTTAAGCTCGTCCACTTGATTCATGTTCGTTCAGCAACAACATATGTCCTGGATGCCACTGTCGCTTCGACAGAGGGAAGCAACTGTATACGCATTTGTTCCAAAAACATGGGTTCACCAAACAGGATGTAGAAAAGTTCAACACATAGAGGAAACAAAAGCCACACGCTGATACGCACGTTTTCACCTATGAGAAGTGCGACGCCAGCTTTACGACGGCCTTTGCGCTACGACGGCACGGTCGGAGAAAACACATGGGATCTTATGCTTCTCGCATAATATGCTGTTTATGCTGTGCGGAAATGGCGGTAAGCTGAAACGCATGCGGTAATGGTACACAGAGGTGCGATAGTGGGAGCCAAATCTCCCCTACCTTCACTTTTGAGCTGGTACAGGGTGACCACCTTCACTTTTGGAATAAAAAATCTTTCGCTGGACGATAAAGAAGGAAAATAAGCAAAACCAACGCAAAAAAGATTATTGAAAGCATATATTTATGTCTACGGCGGCATATATATTTGAAATAAACGTGTTCAGTAAATGGTGTATTTGGAAGTAAAACTTAGCGAAACTTACGGATTTTATTAAGCAAATTTTGTTATAACGTACAGCGAAGAAAGTAGGTCGATCCAGGCAGTAACGGCCGAGAACCAGAATTTTGAAAAATTAAATAGTGAAAAATCATGCAAAATTTCCACTGTTATAAATCTGTTGTTTGAAGATGTCAGCAGTTGCGACTTCATAGTTTTGAAGAGTAAATAGTGCTTTATTGAATAATGAAAAAATCAAGTCGATTCGCGAGATGCTTGCCGAAAACCAGAATTTTGAGATATAGCGCCATTTTGGCTTGTGCACTGACCGCTGACAGTTAAACTCATATAAATCCTGAATGTGAAGATATGTGATGTTGCGACTTCACATTTTTGTAGAGTAGGGATTGCCTTATCAGGATATATCTTAGACGTTCCGATCCATTGAAACACCTCCGAGATCCAGAGTCTTGAAAAGCAGTAAAAAAGCGCTTTTTGAATTTCAACAGCTTATAACTTCTTCAGAACTGCATGAATCAAGTTGCGACTTTATAGGTTAGATTCTACTCATAAGAGCTTTCAAGGATATATATTATAGTGGGGGTTTAGGGCCTCCTACGAATTATGCGCTGGGGGGAGCCTTTTCATACCAAAGTCTCCCCCTAGCCCACTTTAATATATAGGAGGGGGAGATTTTGTGATGAAAAGGCTCCCCCCGGGCATAATTCGTAGGAAACCCTAAACCCCCCACATCCTTCTTATATATAAACTGGAAACATTCCGGCGCGACAACGTAAAGTGCACATCGTCTCTGACCCTGACGTCTCCTTTCAGCGTTGCGCTCTATTTCTTGTAGTCGTTGCTCTGCCTGGTTAGTCCACACGTTTCTTCAAGATGCTTGTTAGTTATGAACTTTGGGATCACGTGGTAACGCAGGCAATGGCGCAGGAAGAGAATTGTTTGTTTTTCGCAGACTATCTTCTGTCGCAATAATAGAACTTCTTTGAATAATCAAAAGTGGTTAGCTGGTACATCTTTCAAAAAATCTTATCTCTGGTAATTTCCTCCCTTATTTTTACTGGGGAGCCGTCAAGCTGATTGGTCAAAAATCGCCCACAAGTTGCAAGTTTGTTTAGGTATGGGCGCAATTACCGCTTTTTACTATATTTGAACAAAAGACAAACCTCTCCACCCTTCTTTCTTTTATTGTTAATTCTAAGTACGAAATGTAGCAAATCCAATATTCTGCATAGGGATATTGGACGTTAGCCGAGTCGGTAATGACTAGAAGATCAGGCGATCAGGCTCGTGATGATTCAAAAAACTTGCATGTGATTCTTTAATATTCTGAATCAGCTTCAAATGCTGATTTCAAATATGCTAGTCCTAGCTGCCGCGCACCATTCTGAAGCGAGTTATGGGCTTTCTCCTACGCAAAATTACTACTGAAGATGAGAAGACTGTCTGTAGATAAAAATCTGCAAGAAAAAGGTGCCGAGGTATCGAAAGGGTATAAATCCAATCCTTTCTTACTAAAAAAAACTTAACGCAGGTGTATCAGCACTTAAATGATGATAACGTGATGCCCACTTCCCTCCCCCAGCTCCCCTTGAACGGTCGGCTGTTCTGTGGCTCTGGCATATATCTCAGAAGAAGAATAGAAGAATCCGGAGAAGGATAGGAGAGAAGCATCCGGTGGAAGAAGCCGTGGCTGGCCCACCGTATGGCATCCATTGAAGTCAAGAAGAGCAGGATCCAGAGACGCCGAGAGCAGATTCAAGTATGTTTTTTGAATATCCGTTCGTTGTCATCGGAGGAAAGACTGACAGCGCTTGAAGAAGAATTAAAAATGATAAAATTTGATTTTGTTGGCCTTTGCGAAACACGCCGCAGCGGCAACTTCCATGCAAAGCGCATGTCTTCTGGATTACACTTTTACAACAGCGGGCGAACGGGAGGAGAAGTTACTCGCAGGGGAGTTGGGGCACTTGTGAATAAGCGATTACATCGACATTGCGCAGGCGTAAAGTTCCTCTCCGACCGTTTACTACAAATTCATTTCGTTCTGCGCGGAAAATCATTACGAGTAACTGTAGCATACGCCCCTTGGCAAGAGGAAGAATACGAAGAATTTCTCGATGAGCTCCACAGCGCGATATCACAAGGGCGTTATGCACACGACATTTTGATTGGCGATTTTAGCGCACGTGTAGGAGGAGAAAGAATGCGATCTGAGTTTGTCGGTCAGAAATGCTACGGATCACGAAACAGCAAAGGGCAGGCGTTAATGGAATTTGCGGAATCGGAAAGGTTTTATATAATGAATACCTTTTCCAGAAGCCTGAAAGAAGACGGTGGACTTGGCGCTCTCCTAATGGAAGTGTTTTAGAAGAGATCGACTATGTATTGACGCGCCAACCACGGGTCATAACTAATGTTGCTGTTCTAAATAGGTTTAACGCGGGGAGCGATCACCGTCTTATTCGAGCCGATGTGAATCTTCGCACGACTCGCTTCCATCTCCGTTCTCGTCAACTGCCTCCAGACTATAGTGAGATAAAAATGAAAGCGGCATTGCTTAGTGATAAACGGATTACCAAACTTTCATCCTCAACACTCACTACGACTGACCCGGTTAACTCTTGGCAACAACTGTGTAAATCTATCCGGGATGCTGCTGAATTGCCAAAGTTTCTTGGGAGCCGCTGGAACGAATCTCTAACCGAACTCGATCTCTTCTTCTTCTAAGACGTGAACTGAAGTATGGATTGAGGCAGACGAACGCTGTAAACGCTCAAGTTGATTACGTAACTGTTTGCAAGACTGCGCGATGGTCAATAAAGGACGATCTCTATCGGCATCACTGTTCCGTCTCAAAACGAGCCATCGAACGCAATCGTATTAAACGCGGCCGTCTCGAGCCTATCCGTCAACATGAAGTTGTATGTCAATTGCGGAGGCCAGATGGGACTATGACCAGCACTTCCACAGAAGCTCAATCACTTGCTAATACCTTTTTCGCTGAACTCTGCGCTGCCCGCGGGACCACGCTTCCATTCCACAGCCAACGAACTATTACTCATCCTATCAGCACCGATGAACTAAGGAAAGCAGCTTCAAAGATTAGAGGAAACACTGCTCCAGGAATTGATGGCATTCGTTCTAAAGCTGCGAAGTATGGTGTTGAAGTTGTTGCACCCCAACTTGCAAATATTATCAATCGAATGTTCGAAGACAATCACATTCCTACCAACTTCGCCCATGCCTCCTTGATACTGCTTCACAAAAGCGGTGACCGCCATGATATGAACAACTATCGACCGATTTCTCTCTTACCACAATCTACAAAGTCTTGACGAGAGCACTGGCCTGTCGAGTCGAAGAAAAAGTGTGCAAATATCTGGCTATTGAGCAAGCTGGGTTTCGACAGCGTTTCTCAACCACTGACCATTTACAAACTATCAATCAACTCATTGAGAAAACGCATGAATACCATCTACCCATCGCATTCCTTTTTCTCGACTTTCAGAAAGCGTTCGATACCGTCGAGTTCGACCCAGTCTGGAGAGCTCTTGCCCATTATGGAGTTGATACCGACACAATAACAATGATACGACTCTTGTATCAAGCAGCTACGGCATCGCTTCAATCTGATGAAACCAATGCTCCATTCAAAATACAGAGAGGAGTTCGCCAAGAGAATGCTCTATCGCCGCTTATCTTCATCACGTGCCTTCAATTCGCAATTGATTCTGTCCACTGGGAAGATGGAGATGGCTATGATATCTGTGGAAAACAACTTCACTACCTTGCATTTGCGGATGACGTTGTGCTTATAAGTCGTTGCCCAACTCGATTACAGTCAATGGCCGTGAAAATTCTTGAAGCTTGTCAGCAAATTGGGCTTCAAATGAATGAAAGAAAAACAAAATGGATGGGAGAGGACAGAGATCGCATTTGGAGAACTTCAACAATTACACTAAACGGCAACACCATCGAGCGCGTAGACTCGTTTGTCTATCTTGGTCAGCTACTGCAATGCCCACGCGAACAAAGAAATCTCTAGACGTACTGGGATGGCATGGAATGCTTTTGGCAAGATACGAAGATTTCTCACCAACAGAAACGTAGCTGTTTACCTAAAACGGCACTACTTCAACAAAATCATCCTTCCAACACTTCTGTATGGCTGTGAAACATGGGCAACCACTAGGAAGTCAATGCTGAAACTGCTCCGATGCCAAAGAGCAATGGAAAGGTTGATGCTTGGATTTCGACTGAAGGACTCCAAATCTTCAATTTGGATTCGTTCTACAACGAAGTTGAAGGATGTGGTAGCGGCGGCACGGAGAAGGAAGTGGCGGTTCGCTTGGAAAATCTATAGGATACAAGGTGAAGAAAGATCGACAAAAATTCTCACGCGCTGGACACCATCTGTCAGAAGACGCTTTGGTGATGGCAGACCAAGAATTAGATGGGAAGACGACATACGAAAGCACTGTAATATCTTTGAATCTGCTCGTAAATGGCATGAACTAGTTATGGATTCTCGTGCATGGAGGCGAACAGAACATGCATATATGGTCACATACTGATTAACGGAAGCCTCAGACAAAATCATCACGGTATTTATCACTAACATGTAGAACCGTTGAGTATGAATAAAAGATAAAGATAAACGTGATGCCCACGAGTCGATGACCATGCCAATTTTGCGCAGGAAAAAGCCCATAACTCGCTTCGGAATGGTGCGTGGCAGTTAAAATTAGCATATTTGAAATCATCGTTTTTAGCTGATTCAGAATATATTAGGTCGTCCCGAAAGTTTGTCGGTTTCTTTCATCGCCCACCATTGTTCACAAAACACTAATCCATGGACGATCTAGGGACCATCTGATTCATATTTTCATCCTCTTTCTTATAGCTATATTTGTTCCCTGATCTACCCCGTTTTTACGATGTTATCGCCATGGCTTTTTGAGCACCTTGACATAGCGCCAAAACTTTCCTGAATTTTAAAAATTTTTATCTTGATATTTTCGATGAGCGCCGGTGACTGTTATGTAGTGCAAACCTTTGGCTACATTGAACCTATTTTAGATTACGTGGGCCACGTTTATAAAGTTCGCAATAATTATTTATTTGAGAAAAACCGCGGCTTTTTGAACACGTTTTATCACGTAAAATTACCGAAAATTCCAAAAAGCTGATTTTTAAAGCAAATCAAACTTGGTTATGTTGCATAAATGATGTTAAATAACAAACAGGTTTAAATTCGCAAAAACTCAAAAGCTTTCATGCTTCTGCTGCAATTGCGCGTTTCATGACTTTGCTAAAAACCAAGGCCTCCGGAGAAATAATTTTTTGAAGTTAAAATCAGCAGATTAGGAGAATCCAAAAATATGAACTTGTAGCCCGAGAGTTGCTCTATTTGAGCCATACTTAGCCTTTTTTGAAACTTTGTAATGAAATTTTTGAAAATTAGCTCAACTTTGAGCAGGTAGAATTGACAGGTGGACAATTTTGGCAATTATCAAAAAAAGCATACAAGATTATGGTATGAAAGTGTATCCATAAGAAAGAGAAGGAAAAGCTGGGCGTTTGCAAGTGTTGTTTTCCAGCAAACCTTAGATGGAAGGACAACGTTTATTAAACGAGGCTCTATTTTCCTAGGCCTATCTATTCTCAACACCTTCTCTGGCTACAATCTACCTGCACTATGTCCTCCGTCCTTACTCACTCTTCTCTTCCACATCGGCTTTGCGCTTAGAGGGCGGAAGGCTTTCGGTTGCTTCCTCCACCTGGCTTACCACAATGCTCCGTCCCCGGCGTCAGCTTCTATGATGTCCGAAACATGATCAACAGAGATCTTTTCGGATAATAAAGGAAGCAAATGCTCCACCAAAAGGCCTTTGTTGAGTCCAAGACAGGGCCCGGCACCGATGGTTTGGGGTCAAACTGGACTTCGTTTTTGGAGTTAGAAGCAACGGGGACATCGTTTTTATGAGGTCCTGGAGGAAGCGCCAAAAAACACGACGAACATGTCAGGTTTCACGAGTTGAACATGTTCTTTCGCAAGCGCGCGAATTGCAAATGCAAAACTCAAACAAGCAAATGGCTTGTTTACAGCGCACAAACAATCACATGGCTCCGAATTTGGGCTATGAGTATACAATATTACTCCAAACTATGTTATGTAAAAAGTTCCCAAAACTTATGTGTCTGAATATCCGTTCCGGATTTGTTGGTTTCTAGACCAACCACCGAACCAACTGGGTTGGTTCGGAGCATAAATTTCGGAGAGTTCACATAAGTTTTGGACCTTTTTGATTTGGACGATTAAAACGCACAAAAATCTATTATATAGTGAAGAGAGCGAATCAAACTATTGCCTCTCCTCTTCTTTTGAGCCAAAAGTAGTGCAAATCTATACGCTTTGATAGATATTGCGCTCCAATCACACGCGGTGTCCTTTGAACTATGTGGCGAAAAATGCACTGCCAGATAGTTGAGGCCACAGATTTGGTTGGCCTAGGAGGTTCTCGACATTCTGAGCGCTAAAATGGTACACTACTCAATGACATAGCCTTTAATCAACTCGAAATGTTTTCTTTTTGCTTTTTTGTTGTATTAGTTGCCTCAAAATGCGCTTTTTTCGCTTTTTTAATGTTATTTTGACTAATTAAGGGTTTCCCTACTGATTTTTACGTCAAGAGGGACTTCGTAAATTTTCGCGAAGTCATGGGGGACTTCGTTTCCAGAAACGCTTCAAACCAACGCGTGCCGGGCCCTGGTCCAAGATCATCTCAAAGAGCGAGCCAGCAGAAGTCTTCATATTGTGCATCCCCCAGATCAGTTGGGCCAAGAGTAGTTTGGGTTTCAGTAGAAGTTTGTGTGCTGAAATGTACTGAAACTCTTGTTACGAGTTCATTGCATGCCGATCTTCTTGCATTTCGGTTGTGATAGTTTTCCAACACTACTAGTCGTGACTACTCAGGCAAAAATACCGGGCGAGCGGCTGCATGCTTCGGCCGAGCGCCCTCATTCACCGGGCAAACACTCGGCTATCAAAGAATACCGGGCGGGCGGCTACATTCACCGGCCGGGCGGCCATCAATTAACCGGTCGGCCGCTATACGATTGAAAGATGCCGCGCGAGCGCTTACAACCGCCGGCCGAGCGGCATCACTGACCGGCCGACCATCCCGCGATCAAAGCGCGGGAAATTGATTGGTTCAAATGTCGGTTAAGGGCCGGTCATACCGGTCAGCGATCCATCGCGTCGCTGACTTTCCCAAAGGACAAGTGTTACAAGGCCGGAGATAACTGCGTATCTGTGCTGGCTGTCCGGCGCGATGCATCGCGGGCCGTTTTCTACCCGGCCATACCGATTTGAGCGAAATCGTCGCGATCGTCGCTCATTCTAGCGAATTCGCGTCGCTCATTTCAAATGCGCGACGCGATGGATCGCTAGGATTGGGAATTCCTTCCCGAAAGATTTTATGATGATCTTTCACTTTTTGAAGCTAGTTTCTCGCCTAAGAAGTGGAAATGAATCCTGTATTGCCACATTGCATTGGTTTTCTTCAGGCATTTTTCTGTCGTTTGTTAACGATACTTGAAAACAAAATTTCAGGTTCATCGAAATTGTTGAGTCTCTCATCTATAATAAGGATTGTTGTTTCTCCATACTCGCTTGCTTTTGTTCATTCTCGTTATCCTTTACTAGTAAGGGCATGTAGTGGAGCTGTTTAACTGTTTGATTGTTGGTTTGGCTTGCTTGAAGTTGTTACATCATGATCCTATGTGAATCTTCAATAGTCAATGGCTCTTTGAACTGTTCCCGTTTCCATTTTGGGGGCAGTCTAAACCTCGGGTACAGTTCCTTGGAATTTTTGGCAATTTATATGTGCAATTTTGTTACTATCTTAGTCCAGTTGACCGCATTTTAATCTATCTCGTTTTACAATTTATTGTAGTCATTGGCAATGAATTCTTTTCGTGAAATTCGATCTTCTTTTATGATGCTGTCGTTGGCATTTATATTGATAATCTCTAACTCATTATCACCATTTCCAAACTTGCAGAAGGTTTAGGTTTGTTCCCGTTTTGAATATGGCTTCTCGTCGATGTGGAGTTGGCGTTACAGCGCAAACAGACAACTCAGGTTTGTTCCGCATATCAAGCATATCTCCGATTCTGGTGGGCAGATTGACACTTTATAGGCAAAGTTCAATGCAAAAGGTGAACAAATGGCTAGGAGCAGTTGCAGATATTCTCAAACATTTAGAGGAGTTTAGCATAAGGTAAGTAACTTGGCGGCACTGGTGATGAGTGTGGAATGTGAAAGGCGATTTTTAGCCTTTCAAGATAATTCCCACGCAAAGCGCCTGATTTTTCAAATCAGATATGTTTAGGCTAGAGCAATTTGCTCACCGCCATTCTGAAGAGATCCGCAAAAATTCCCATTTTCGACGCCATTTTCAAGAGATGTGCGCTAGCATAGAGTCGACCCACTTGCGTACAAGCATTGTCTCTTTCTCATGGTAGCAATAATATTGTTATTGGCTGTCGGTTATTAATTCTAAGTGATTGCATCTAAGAAGAGCTCGTTTCGCAACGTATCAGATATGAAGCTCGACACTGAGGAATCGGTGAAACGTGAACTTTCGTTGTTGTAAGGAAGCAAGCGTTTTCAACTGTGGACTCTGATGGATTTCTCGATGAACTCCAGGTTAGATTCTTTGCGTTACTATCTCATTTTTTGTTCTTTTTTGCAGTCACAACTTACTTTTATCCAAAAATGTTCAACGCTCGCTTTTTTGGATGTTTTTCAAGCAATATTGATCGTTTTTTCACCCAAAAGTAAAAGTCTTCGTCTCATTTACGGTTTTTTATGTTGCTGCGGTTCGCTTTTCATATTCTACACTTGAAGAGATAAGATTTCTGGGTGGTAGTTCAGTCGAACTGTATGAGCGACTCCCAGATTTGTGTGCAGGCGGATTGCGGACTTTCCCTAATAATAAGGATGAATTGTTGAACCTCCACGCTTATTACTTTTCGTACTCTCTCGGTATCAACAGCCACGCTTTGAGTTGGCAGAACTCCACCTCCACACGAATCTGAGACCCAATGATACACGCTCCGTATGTGGCTAGCGTTCAGAAGGGGCCGGGCTGCTGAACTATGTTTGTAATACGGATAATTACGGCGATTTTCTGCAATTTTCTTCTTCAAGTAAAATACGCACTTTTGCGAGCCATGTGTTTCGTGTTAGTTCTTGTGGTCACCATCTCTAGCATAGTCTTGACTTGACTGGAAGCTCAATGCATCTAATTTCTAAGATGTCATTTGCTTATGCATTCAAGTGCTTTAGAGAAGCGTGGCTATTAATATACGAAATATGGTCCGATGTAACCCTGAGCGTCTGTGTAAAGCGTAAACATTCATTTTTGTGAGGTGATGAGGTGTGTCGAGAGCGGCTCCATATCTATTCGTGACCAGTCCCCTCGAATTGCATCTGATTACAGATCGACAGAGCTCTGATGGTCCAAGCTGTCTTAAAAGGGAAGGTATCCACCAATTCGTTTGACTTTGGCCACTTTTCTGCTTCCGCGGACTATGTACCCAGCTCCAGCTGTGACGACGTTGCTGATAGCGTGAATTCGTGCTCAGATATGTCCGTTTCGGATATTCGATACTTCATATGTTGACGTCATGAACTAAGTTCCTGTCTCCCTTCTATTGCTCTCTGGTACGGGTAACTGTGGTTTTTCATTGTTCAACGGACTTGCTTTTTATGGGAAGTTTTTGTTAGACTTCATCTCTGTTTTTCTTTTCAGTCCAGAAGCTTTTGCTATTAAATTGGGTGAATAAACAATTTGTATCTTATCCATGGATATCAGCATCGGACTAGGCTGGTTCAAAGAGTTTGGTCGTAGGGACTCACAGCGAGAGCTGACCTGAGGCCGGATCTGCGATCGTTTTCAAGAGTCAATTGGGATTTTGATGTAAGCGAGAAGCACTTGAGAACAATAGTTAGTACGCTAAAGACAAGTGATCTGTAAAACTACTTTTCTTTTTCATTTCCATATATCAAAGTTCGAACTCGATGATGACCACATATCTTGATAAGTTTGACTGCTTTTGGTGAAGAACTAGAATAGAATAGAATAGAATTAAAATAGCTACGCAATAGAACGATAAAATGCAACTAATTTGCCATTAGTTGCATTTTATCGTTCCTTCAAACATTTATAGTTCAAATCTATTTCAAAATAATAAGGTTGAACACGATCTTCTATATCCTCACAGAGTATTGGAAGGCTCTCATGACGTTATACGCTACCAAACACAAGAATTGAGCTAGTCGGTGTCTATATGGCAGAGTGCACCATCTGAGCTGTCGCTTGGGCAGTATTTTAAGATAGGACCCCCAAATCACTTCCCATGTAAGATCCCCATAGGTCCAGTTCTGCCGTTAACAAGACATTGGATAACAAGACAGAGACTACACCGACGAACGAAGACGATTGCGCCTTGATTATGAGCAATTTTCATGAATGCTAGAGTGAACGTGTATCATGTGATGTAGTGTGAGAATGCACACATCGCCGCGGTGGTATGCTCCCTTATTCGAGCGATCAGCGATGCGTCGCGCGTCTTCGTCGCTAGTTTCCACCCATTCGCGACGATCATCCATCGCGGCGATGGATCGCTGACCGGTATGACCGGCCCTTTAGATTTCACTGGACAAAACGTGCTAAAACGAGCCTTGCCAATCCCTCCCTCGTTAAGCATCATTCATTCGCACTTCCTCTTTGTGGTTATATGCTTGCGTCATGCACTCTCGCTTTATCAATTTTTTTTTATTATTTCCCTTTCTTTAAACTACTTTTTCACTTTGGAGTGGAGAATTGCAGCGGAGATGGAAAGGTCCAGGAGGATCACCCATATCCAACAACGGCGAAGATATGGATGTGAGTTGTTCTCTAAATTTGATCGCTGCCACCATTTGTGATACCAAATTTGGTATCAAGTCTTCGTTTCTTTAATTCCTTTCAATTAATTCAATTCAATTTCTTCGTTCTTTTTACATCCTTTCCTTATATCATTCTCTCAGTTCAGCAGTGTACCTTTTGCGACCGTGCTTGCCATTTGTTTCCTGCCATATCTCTCAAGTTCTCAGCTTTTGTGTCCGACGAAACGGCAAACATTTGCACTTTCGCGCTAACTTTTTGCAATTTATACTCGTACCTATATAGGTTTTGGTTCCAGGTTCCATGGATTTTCAAAAAGTAAGTGATGGAAGCATATATTTCATGTTAATCATTCAAAGTATCGAAGACGACGTCTAACCACTCATACCTATAGTTACAAATGGCAAAATACAAAGTCGCGCCCCATAATTTAGTGGGAATTCGACATTTCATGGGAGTCCGCTAATTGTGCACTCACTGTGCATACATCCTGGTGCAGGTAATGCCTTATAACTTGCAGAGGTTCTGGTACCATTATAATTTTTACAGATAACGGAGCCGCGACAATCCATTCAAGATTATTCCCTAAGGCTCAACGGAAAAAGAGGCCGAAGTTCAAATCTCAAAAACTTGCCGTCTAAAGTTGAAACTGCACTCTTAGGTATGTATTTGATATCAAAATAGTTCAGGACTCCTGATTTTAGACTTTGGCAAAGACACAATCGGCTATGGGCATCCAGAACTCAAAATGGCAGCCGTCAATGTCGACACTACGAGGTGGAGCTAGAGTGAATTCTCCAAAAAGTCACAGTTTCAATTTTTTACAGCTTTTGCGAAAGCCTCGGAAAAACAAGAGAGGAAAGGGCGGAAGCATTCGAAAGGATGGCACATGAAAGGTCTGTGTATAGGCGGGACCTCTTCAAAGCCCTGCAAATGGCCTTGTGAGTAAAGGAACTTTTTCCTAACGCTACATCTCATAGACCATTTGTTTAGAAGAGATATTCGCGCATACGAATATGACGTCGAAACGATAAATGGAGGCTTTATGATGTAACTTTTTTCTAAACAAATTTATGTAGCAGAATGCACATATTTTTCAGAGAAAGAAAAAGCGTGCACGGCCGAGACGATTGCTAATGGTCCATAGCCGTTTTCTCAATATGCGCTGTCGTCGTCGTAAGGGTTGAGATAGTGAGCATTTTTGGGTTTTTTGCATTCCATTGTTTCTAGGTTGTTTTGAGCAGCTTAAGAGCTGAGTTGTTGATTGATTTATTTCACAGAGTTTATGTTGTGTTGTGACATTTTGTCACAATGTGTTGTGACACGTTTTTGAGTGTCATTTTTTACGCTGTAAGATTCTAAATAAAATTACTAATTGTGCTCAATTTGTGCTCTTGTACTTTATGGGTAAGGAAGAATCTTGTGTTAACAAAACAAGTACCGCGCCAACATCCACAAAAACCGCGCCAGTAACCACAAGTACCGCGTTAGTGACCGCAGTGACCGCGCGAGCATCCACAAGTATCGCGCCAACATCCACAATGACCGCGTCAACATCCACAATACCGCGCGAGCATCCACTAGTACTGCGCCAACATCCACAAAGACCGCGCCAGTAACCACATGTACCGCGCCAGTAACCACAAAGACCGGCCGAGCGTTTAGCGTTTTCATTACTGGCCACTGAGCGCTCGCAATGACCGGGCGAACGGTCGCAAATACCGGCCGGGCGCTCGCGTTCACCAGACGAGCCGGAAAAGTGAAGACCCGCTCGGCCGGTATTTTTGCCTGAGTAACTACCACAACCGAAATACAAGAAGATCGGCATGCAATGAACTCGTAATACTTGTCTTGTAGCGATGAATCGCGAGATTGGATCGCGTGAACCCTGTCCGAAGCCTAAAAGGAATGAAGGGATTCGAGCATGAATGCTTTATAGTCTGCAAATAAAATAGCTTCGCCTATATATACACTCCGCACGCACAGCCAGCTGGCTGTGCGTGCGGAGTGTATGTATTTAATTATGTTATTTATATTTTTATACCTAAATTTACAGAAGAGATGGAAAAAAGAGACAGTCTAAACCGATTCTGTATGTTTCAAGCTTTCGAATGGTATGTCGACATTGAACATAAAGCTTTTCTGAGTTAGAAAAAAGTCTCTGTTGAATAACCTTCCAACGCCTACGCATTAAGGAAATCTTTATATTACACTTCTGAACCATTTATTTTCCTTCTTTCCACTCCCGCTCCCGTTAGACATGTAAGCTTGTGTCGCATTCATCTCAGGTCCAATTATCCCTCCCCCTTTTCTCGGTCAGAAATAATCAAAACCCTCTTCACTTCTTTAGGTCAGAAATAACCATAACCCTCTTCACCTATTAGGGACCCTGCTCCCACTATTCAGATAATTGCCAAGGGCAGGCGGTTCGCAAACTCGCGCTTTTCTGCAGGCTGAGCAAAATTTTGGGGCGTGACCAAACCTTCAGCGAGCGGTACTTCCGTGTTCTGCCAGCGGGCAGGAACACAGCATTTTTGGCAAGCGCTCGGCAAATAATTTCTTTCAGCAAGCGCTAGCCAAACTTTCACCAAGCGCTCGGACTCTTTTTACGCAGTTTCGGGCGTATGCCGAGAAAAAAGTAAGATTCTATGTGGCGGAGGAGCCATCGATAATTTTATTACCCAAATTTGGGGTACCTTCTTTCAACGGAAGGTACCTTGGGCAGTGCGGTCCTTCACAAAGGACCGTGCGGCCCACGACAATTTTGCATATTCTCGCGGAAAGTCCGCGAGAATGCGGCCACTGCGCCGCAACTTATCTGCAGGGAAACCGCGATAGTTCTCCGAGCGTTCGTCTGAATGTTGACAAGAATTATTCCAAATTTTTGCAAGCGGACCGCAAGAAATCAGCGAACTATTTTTCCGGTGCCCGCTTGCTCAAAACTCGCATGGCCGCCTGCGTTCGGCCAAAAATTGATAAAATAGGTCGGTTGGCAACTAGTCTGAACATCAACAAAACGTCATATTTTACTTTCCATTATCTACTAAACAAAACTTTATTGCAAGGTGATATGACTGCAAAAATCAGCAACCGTCTAATTTCCCATTAGAGCTGCGATGTCCTTTACTCAAAATACATCAATTCGCAAAAAATCTCTAAGGTAAAATATAGAGGCTGTTGTGCAGCATAAGTTTTACAGACCAGAGTGCTCACTAGTGTAGACCTTTGCGCAAAAGCATAATTCAAAAGAAGAGAAACCGTCCTGTCAAAACCCTTCCAGTATATGAACTCGGAACATGAGCTTGAATTTGATAGCTGTTTTATTGCTGATTTTGTGCCATTAGCAGTGCGAACTATCCCATTGATCGAAAAGGCATCAATTAAAATCCACACCTATTTTTTTAATGTTGCAAGTAGTCGGAGGGATGCTATTTTCTGTACAGCTCAAAGGTCATCACGATTGCAAAAAGGTGCACTACCGAGTTTTGCGGAAAAACGCAGACGAACAGAGCTCGATATTCAGCAGTTGGCTCTGCAACAAACTTGAACAATCTGATTACGGAGTTCATTCGATTACAAATTCGAATGAAACATTCGAATAAAACATTCAAATAAAATTTATTCGAAGCCTCGTTTTTTGATTATTCGAGTTTTCAAATTTTATCGCATCCCTGTTTGATTATTCGAATCGCATTTTTGTCCAGAACCAACCCCTTTTCCCAATTATTCGAGTTTCGAATATTATTCGAAAATGGAAAAACTCCGGATATCGAATTTCGAATGCGAATACAGGGTGTCCCAAAAATGTTAACACTGTTTGATCGTTGATAACTTCGTTGCTTTCACGTCTTTCGCCGAGTTTGAGGCACCTTTCTGCAGAGCCAGGTTCAACTTAGATTTGTAGTATGGACCGAATCATCGATCGCTCTTCATTACTGTGGGATTACGGTATGAACTTCTAGCATGTGGATTCATTGTGAGATATGCCATCTGACAAAATTTTTTTCATAAAATCTGAAAAATCGCGTGATAGGGTTTTCGTTTACGCTGATTCCACTACACAACTTTTTACGAGCGTTTTCAGCTTTTTTGACGGTGTAATCACATTTCTAGCAAGTGCTGAAAATTCAGTTATTACGGTTTACCTGGAGTAACCTTGGAAAGAAGCATCACAGTAATTTGGCAATTCAATATTCAAAATCAGCGGCTTTTATTATCATAGTATAAGAGTTTTAGCTTGTTTGGTTTTGTTCCGAGGAGAATATGGCCTCTAATGGCCTAAAATCTTTGTCGAAGTTCCTACCGTAATCCTACAGTAATGAAAAGAGATCGATGATTCGCTTTATCCTGTAAATCTAAGTTGAACCTCGCTCTACAGAATGGTGCCTCAAAGGCGAAAGACATGATAGCAACGAAGTTATTAACGATCAAACAGTGTTAACATTTTTTTTGGGACACCCTGTATATTCGAGTGTTTTATTCGAATGCGAATTTCTATTCGATTCGGAGCCAAGTATACAAGCCACCTATGTCAGCCCTGTTTGTGTATCCTTTCTTTGTAATCAAACAGAATGTTGAAAAGGCATCCAAATTACGAGAAAGCTTGTGACTAAAAACAGCCGAGAGCCATGTTTTGAGATACTCTTGACATGCGATAAGACATAGATTTCCTCCAGTGATTATGAGCGCATACAGAACTCTAACCAATAGCTTGAGTAGGGCTTGCACAAGTGGCTCACAGACAAGCTGAGTATCGTTTTGAGCTAAAAAGAAGAGAGGATTCGTTTTTGTGGGGTCGGGCAGAGCACCAAAATCGCATGTGTTTACTTATTCATTAAGATTTATTGAGAATTATTGGTAAGACGACTATTCGTGCAAAATTAGCCACGTGAAAAATCTCGGTACGCTAGCCAACTCCGCTCCCCATCAATCAACAAATTCTTGGAATCTCTTCATCTTCTGAACAATACTTATAGAATTTCTATCGCATGAACTATACACACAGACCACTCACACACTCACAAACTATTACCCTCCCCTCCCTCACAATTCCCCTTTTGTGTCACTCATCTATACATATATAAAGTTGATTTAGATTCAGGTGATTCAGTGGATCAAAGAATGGAAAAGGAGTTCATTTAGCAAGTTTTTCGAAAAGCCTCTTATTTACGCAGCAATATACAAGTTTTGAATCGGCATGGTAAATGACAATGTAATATCTCGTCTGTTCACTTCATATAGACTTTGTTTGCTTAGCTAGTCATAACGTTCCTGGATCTGCGTTTCATGATGGACACTAGGTTGTTCATAATCAGTCGGGTGCAAGCTTCCGATCGTAGCAGAGAATAGTACCACACAAACAGACAGAAGAATGTAAGACAGTAGTACAACTCAGAGAAAATGTTTATTGAAATTACGCACAGGGGACCTTCCCTATTGCGTCTCACAACCACATGGAACAATGAAACATTAGGTTGTAAAAAGTTCCCGAGCACTGTTGAATGTCTTGATTTATGCTTTATATTTTTTCCGCTTGATAGCTTTGAGAAAACAGTTACCACAATTTCTACAAAAAGGAATCTCAACTTTTAATGAGTTTTGATATTTTCAGATGTTGGAGCTTAACTTACCTGCACATCAAACTAGGAATTGTTTCAACAAGACTAAAATTGCTTATCGCTACGCAACTGCATTCAACATCAAAAGTCTGATTTTTTAGCAGCTCAAACAAGAATCTTGCCTTTTACAAAACCATAACTGCACCTGGATAACTGTCAGTGACCGCCTCGACGGTATGCTAGCGAACCCAAGACAGCAGTAATAGTGTTGATTCATCTTTTTAGCTTAAAAAATCCAGTCATCAATATGTCTCAGGAACTCAGGTTAGAATCGTAGCGAAAGTTAAAACTTAACTACATCTTATCCTTCTTCTCCCACTCCATTATACTGATACTTATAGTTTACGTTTACTCCATTCAGGTGCATATGTGTCCTAACACGCCGTTTCTATGATGTAATTTCGGACAGAAATCTCAAAAATACACAGTTGCAAAACTAAGCTTTTGGGAAAAAGTGAGATAGCTGTGAGAAAGTTTTTCAAGTAGCATCTGTAGAAAGAGGGAAAGCTTTGTGAAAAAGAGAACATCGATGTGCAGTTTAGTTGCGGCAGTTTTTGCTAGTGGGACGACTAACCGTAATTTTTCAATATTATAACATAGGTGGAATCTTGATTACAGCTAATACAGAGCAATTCTGAACTTTATACGCTTAAATTCTACTTAAACAACCCAGATTTTCAAGATATGCTTTATACTGCTACGCTTGAACGGGTGGATGGACGGTACGATACAAATGTGTGGGCAAATATTGCTGTACCCTTTGATTCAACTAACTTGGCGGCTGAAAGGCGGGGCTTCGTGACCTAATTAAGGCTAATTGATGGTCAGAGGGCACGCGCGCGAGAGAGACGCAGATGCGTAGCGGGCGCAAGCGGCCTTAATTAGGTTACAAGGACACGCCTTCTAGCCGCCAAGGTTGAATCAAAGACTAAGTACAGACAAACTTTGGACAACCACAAACTCGAAATCAAAGATCTTGTTAGAAGTCGGAGAATTAAGAAAATTGAAGTGCTCGAGAATTCTTTGCAACCTCACAAATTAGCTTGCCGCTTTCAAATCTGTATAAATCCCAAGAAAAACCAAAAATAATTATATAAATAAGTCTGTCACAAGCTCGAGCATTGCAGGAAGCACCTGGGGAGGTAGGGAATGTTAGCAAAATCAAAAAACTGGTTTTCAACAATTTTACTTAATATGGTCAACTCCCTATAGTTGTGTCAGTTTGTTAAAACAATGATTGGTGCAGTCTAGGATTTCCTAAACATCTCTTATCCCCTCCTCCCAAAGACTCCTTGCGGCAGGCCAAATTAGCTACTCGAGACGCAACTTTGATCCGTGCCTGACTAGTTCCGTCGTGAAGTTACGAGACATCCTGCAGGCAGTGAGTACTAGATGATTCCTGAGCTTTTTATAACTACATCCGATGAATACTTTTCCTTTCCTTTTCTCGTTCAAGGGATCTCTGTCGAAAGCCTCCACTGCCTGAAAAATATGTTGAAATTGACAATAATACGAGTTATTAGTAGAGATGGTAACGCCGTTAAAGGCAGCGTCCAGGCAAATCTGGACCTATGGGGATTTTACGTGGAAAGTAATTTTGGGGCCTTTGCAAGGCAAGGCCCAAGCGGCAGCGCAAATGAATTGCTAGCGGCTCATAAACGCTTCCAAACTGGATCCCAAGATCGTATCATCGGACGACTTGCATCGTGTTTGCATGTTTTCGCGCGAGGACCCACGCGAAACTGATGCGTCGCGTAATGAATCCGTGCGAAATACGATCCTGGGGTCCAGTTTGGAGGCGAATATCTTAGCCGTTAGAGCACTACCTGAGTTGCTGGTTGGGTGTCTCAACTAGGGTCCCAGAATTACTGTTCACGTGAAATCCCCATATGTGATGATTTGCGTGGACTGCCTTTATGATGATGGCAGTCTATGCAAAAAGATCTTGATTCGCAAATTGTAAATTCTGAACTGGACAAGTTTTGGCTGCGAATCTCATTTTGATAGAATTATCAGCTACCGTTAAGTAGGCGGAGGAGCGGGTGGGAGATAAGCTGCATAATTATACAGTAAGAGGCTTATAAAGAGATGGTTATCACAACTCTTCAAGGAATCTTCAAACCAAATGAGAAGGTCTATAGAAATGTGCTAAAGTTATTTCAAGAGTGGGACTAGCGAAAACAGCTGAGAGAAAGGAAAGGAATCAACGAGGGATTTTGGGGGGGGGGGTTGAGCTTTACCACTATGCCGTATTTTGGAATGATGTGAGCTCGCTTACTTCTTCTAATTGCAAATTTTCAACCTAATAAATAGTTTCGACTGTGTTTCGTGCCCAGCATGAAACTGATGTTATGCTGAATTACAGTACCGATGTAGTCCTCATCGTTTTGATCTTTTAGTATGTCGATTGAAGCCTCTCACTGCTGTACTCTGTGGTGGGAAATATGTTCCCAGTTCATCTCTCTGCCAAAAATCAGAATTTTGCGAACTAACTTTGAGCCCTTCGTATTTGAGGTGCGAAATCAAAAAACATACTTTAGATACTTCTTGAGGAACCAATTTTCGTAAAAACGAGTACTGAATGATTGAAAGACATATTGCAGTCAAAAAGCTAATTTACAGGGTGTGCCAAGATCGTGTGCTTCAAAATAATAAAGTTGTGTCACAATTATTATTTGTATTAGCGCGCTTGCCATTAATGTACTGCCGATACATCGATGACTGCTGCAATGTGACGCCAACACAACCCGAAATGGCTGAGTGTTTTAGAATTCTAAGCCAGCAGTCACAGTACATTAAGCTTAGGCTCCCGCCAGAGTGCCGAAGTTATGCCAGCGCTACGCCAGCATTTCGATCGATACACGTGTATTTCGTTGGGGACGTCAGCTAGCCCCGCCCAACGAAACACACGTGTATCGATCGAAATGCTGGCGTAGCGCTGGCATAACTTCGGCACTCTGGCGGGAGCCTTACACGCGAGACTCCGCACAGGATGGCTTTCCTTTCTAAACACCCAGATAAATTTGTCTGACGGTACTGTTCGAATTAAATGGTACCGAAAGGAAAGCTCCAAGAACATACTCGTCCGCGCTACATCAGCACATCCTGCAGCTCTAAAACGTTCCGTTGTTCGCAATATGTACAAAACCGCTACAGAAATGTGCACGGGTGAAGACGAAAAGTATGAGTCACGACAGTTGGCATCCAAAATTGCTCGCAGTAATGGCTACACAATTGCGCGATCTCGACAGCGAACATCTACACGACCTGAAAACTGTAACCTTACGCGAGGCAATAACAGTGACAACAAGATCTCCCTCTGTAAGCCATTTGTCTCCGATAGTTTCAGCAAAGAGGCTAGCAGATGCATAGTAAGAGCACAGTTGAAAATGAGGTGATGCTGGTCAACATTCCTAGCAGTAACATCAGAAAGCGGTTGATCAGAAACAGAATGTACGACGTAGAGTGTTTGTCAGAAAACTGCATCGTCTGCCCTTATGGGAAACTAGGTGACTGCGCGAAGGAGGGTATTGTTTATCAGCTGGAATGCTTGAAGTGTGGCTCAACGTATATAGGAGAGTCTGGAAGAACTCTGAGTGTTAGAATGAAAGAACACCTGGCTAACAAAAGACGAGGAAACGTGTCATCACCGTTGGGCAAACATAAGATTGAAGCACACGATGGTGACGATTTTAGCGTGAAGTGCACAATTTTAGCGCAGGAGGTCGAGATTTCAGCACGAGAAATGCTAGAGGCCGCGTTGATCTACGCCGGAAATCCGGGTATAAACAACAAAAATGAGCGCGTGACGATAACGACTGATCTCTTGCCTCTTATGTCATTATGTGACCTCAAACCGCACAGTATATATAGTCCTTGACTCACTGAGCAACCTCAGTGATGTCCGTCACATCCGTGCGGATTACTGACTCCAAGGTGGATTAGAGGTTGGTGAATCCATTTTGGATTGTTTCTCGGGACGTTGCGCCTAGACGAGGTTCAAACGACGGAAGTCTGATGAGGCGTTTGGTCGTATAGACTTACAGATAACATCACCGCAATTCCTTTTCAGACCTCCGAAGAAGACGATATTAGTCGAAGTTGCATATTAATTGCGACAGGTGTGCGAGCTGCTACGAAAGTTACTTCAAAGAGCATTACAAAATTCTACCTGAGATTCTTTATACAATGTTTGGTTTGGAATTATGCTTGAAAAATTTTTTAGCATTAGCATTCTCCGCGAACCACAGCAAACACACTGCATCACTGCCAACATGATCGTAATATTACGATTTTGTAAGTCCACCTCAGTTTACATAATTTCTCAACGGGCTATGCTCAAAAAAATTACCACCTAATATTTACAATATCTTAATTTCTTGTCTAGTGCAAAAATGAGATAAGTATTCATAGACCCTTACGTTTGTCAATGATCCATAGATGTTGAAAGCGAGTTTGTGCAGGTATGACTCTTTTTTTGTGACCTTGCTGTAAAAATGCTTAATATTTTTGGAAAAAGAAATTAATATCAAAACTGGCTTTAAAAAGCACAAGGTGTCAGTAAAAAATCTACTTACAGCTTAAGCACGCTTACAAACAGGTTGCTGTCGCTGTCTAACCTCGGTTTTTCAAGATATTTCACGTGAACCTTTTTTGCCATTTGACAATCGCTAACCTCAAAAGGTAGAACTTCCTCAGAAAAGAACGCTATATGACTAACCACTGCTATCCTCGGTTTCTTGAAGCCCAGAACCTTGTTTACATGGTTTTTTAACGCATCGCTAAATGGGCACCTTTGGGCTGAGCAAACAAGTAGTACATTAAGTGCCTGAGAACAAGAGGTTTAAGTCAAGAAAAACCAAAATTCAAGACCCACAATGAGAAATAGTTTAGAGTTTTGTTGCCATCGTTTTGGGATACGGTGCTATTCCCAGCCCTTTTATTACATTGAAAATTTCATCGAAAACATGCATTGAAAGAGTGCTATTATTGCGCATGTCCGTGGCCAAAGGTCATGTCACCATTCATAGATTGCAAAATGCATGTCGACGATAGCTACCTACGCACCCTATGATAAACTTTTGCTTGTTTCACATTCGATGGATTATTTCTTGAAGTACACTACACCTTTTGAAGCAATCTTGTCAAAACAGATTTAAATGCAGTTCAAAAATACTCCATCGGTCACCTCTTTGTATACCGACTGCCTTCAAGTAAGAGACTTACCAAATCTCTACTTGCGGTTAAAGGCAGTAGCTCGGCAAAATTAAACATCCCGAAATTTTCATATGAATGTTGCTTGCATTCCAAACATCATAGCAGAACAGGCCCGAGCCAGGGCCCAGTACAGATTGTCTGGAAGCAGGCTGGACTTCGTTTCTGGAGCAGAAAGCAAACGAGATATCATTTTGACAAACCGGGGCCGAGCACCAGGTGTAAGCGCCATTTGATGGAACACAAACTTTTCGGACAAGTTATCACATGACTGACATGCTCTATTGTGCAAAGCGAAAAGGAGCGCGATTCAAAAGCAAGGCTAAAATGAACAAATTGCTTGTTTACACCGCACACAGAATCGCTTGACACCAAAATTGAACAGTATACATAGAAAATTATTTGCAAAAGAAATATGCAAAAAGATTTGAAAACTTATGTGAATGTGTCATTACCGTTTTCAAAATTAGTCCGTCTCCAGGCGGTCACCAGACGATCTGAGATCATCTGGAGCATATATTTCTGTCACTACAAGTAAGTTCTAGATTTTTCTATCATGGACGGATTCCCCGGCCAAAAATCTATCCCTGAGCATGAAGACATTTTCACATCATTGTGCAAAAGATAGTGTGCAAAAGAGGAGATTCAGGCAAATGTTCCGTAAGTTGCTCATGATTAAATTACGGGACAGTTTAGCTGACGTACTCGGTCTAAAAAGTAATCCGCGTCCAAATCAATAGCTCCCCGGATGCTGGACTGAGGCGCTCTACATTCAATGTAGGCCCGCCCTAACCGAGATGCGCTGAACAGGGATTTGCTATGGGCTATTGTCTTCGTGGTGCGCATGAGGAGCCAAAACTCATTGAGCAGTCTGTTTTTCTGTATTTTTTGTAACTGTTCCTTGATTTGTCTAATATAAGCTGGTTTCGAGGTAAAAATTCTAGATAACGGAAAGATTTTCAAGAAAAATAACATCGCCGCTAAGGACAGATGCGCTGAGTATCTGTATTCAACTGGAGCTTTTTTTCTGTTTTTATTGAGCATAAAGGCAGCACCCCGGCAGAATTTTGCTTTCCAGTTTTTTACCTATTCGGAGCCTTCTCGTTGTGAGGAACCCACATCTGGGCTTTTCAGCGCATGAAATGGCAAAAATAAGCCTTTTCCGAAACTTTTCAGGTCAGTCTTTAGTGGAGAAGTGGGAGGGGCCCGTAACGAAAAAGGCTGGGCGCGGCTTTTTCCGGCGTATCTTTACTGGATGCGGATCTAAAAAGCCTCGGAAAAAGCGCACTTCTGCCATTTTCATGCGCTGGAAAGCCCCGAGTTCCTCATGGCGAAATGGCTCCGAAAAGATGAAGAACTGGAAAACGAAGTTCTGCCGAGCCGCTGCCTTTAAGTTTTGTGCTTTTTGTGAGTGATGCGGTTTGTTGCATGTAATTGTAGAGCATTCGTGCAAACGTGATCATGCATGGACGCAAATTTGAAGAAAAAAAGCCTCACCCGCAACAAATATGGAATATATACAGGGTTGGGGAAAAGTCCTTAAATACGATTTTATCGTAATGGCGAAGCTAGACAAGATGAACATGAAATCAATAAATAATGTCGACTCAACCGTCCGCCACGTAAAAGCGACTTTACAATTTGACCTCCCTTGACGCGAGCGTTGTCCATGGTGGCACTGTGGTGCTCCAATGTCAGCTTCCTCCCATGCATTCTGATGAGAAAGTCGCAGAGACTCCACAGATTTGCGTGGGTGAGCGCAGGCTTTGACCAAGAACTGACCACGCGTTGTAGTCAAGGGTATTCATCCGGCCAATACGGATTCCATTCCGCAGGAGACATGAAGTCTTTGAAGGCAGTGAACGACAGACAGAATGCACTCCTGTCAGATTTTGGTACTGCTATGTAGTGGGCCTCCCAAGTGCGCCGTAGCCCGTAGCCCCAACCTCACTTTCCAAATCATGCGCTATGTTCTTTGAAGAAGCTTCAAACTTCTACCAATAACGCCCTCTCAATAGAAGTGGGCGGGGCTGGTGAAGTTTTGAAGCTTCTCTACAGAAATTAGCGCATGATTTTGAGGGTGGGGTTAGGGCTACGATGTACTTGAGAGGCCTAACAGTACCAAAATTTGACAGGTGTCCATTCTTCCGATCCACTGCCTTCAACGTTGCTTTGGAGCCGTGCTTGAACAACCTTCGTTTTGTGCGCAGGTGCGCTATAGGCAAGGAGCACTTGTCGCTCCCGGCAAAATGGGTATTGGTCCAGGCCAACAATTCCTTTTCCAGGATGCTATTCACATGCATAGAAGTGTCCACCTTGATGCTCTGAGACACAAAAATCAACAGCATCTTGTTGCCGGAAGCGACGCCGCGCAAACCATCACAGAAGCCTGATGAAGCTTTTTTTCTGCAAGCTACTTTTGCTATTGGCTTCTTAGAGCGATTAGGTAATGGTTCGGTTGTTTTGGCGATCAAAAACTTGTTCCACCGTGAAAGTCTTAACGTCAGAAAAAAATGTTGTTTAATGACGTGCTTTGGAAACTTCGTGTCTTCCCAAAAAAATGAATTTCAAGCATTCTATAAAGCTTCAACTCAAGGTCCTGTTCCACGATCTTTGGGACTGTTCTGCCAAGGATGACAGCTCTGCAGCCAGCTCAGTCAACCGTCGCCGAGGATTGCAATAAATCCACTGGTCTTAAATCCGGTCTTCAGATATTTGTGAGTGCCCGCAGTAGCTAATTCACCACTTCTACAATGTTTCTGGGTGCTGTTTATGTCCTGCAGATGACGCGGTGAAAAAGACGCTGATCTGTGAAATTTGGGGAACCCGCGCAATCTGCTGGTCAGCCATTCTCTACTTGTGCATCTACGCCACCAATGCTCGCTCAGTTCCAAAAAGCATATCTGCCATAGTAATGAAGTTAAGGCCCGTAGTAAACCCCCATCACGGCAACTCTCTTGAGGCGGACCGCAGGTGATCTCATCGCGCCTCAGCACATTGCCAGGGGAGTGACTGATTTGGAGCAGATACTTACTCTGGACGTTCGCGTTTTCAAAGGCGGAACGTTTCTTCCATTCGTGCATTAGTAGCCGAATGGATAAGATTAATGCGTTTCAAGCGGCAGAGCAGTGGTTCGCGTCCGGCTAGCGACACCGTTTTTGCTACTTGGCCTGACCTTAGATAGCGGCCGTTATCAAAAAATCGATGATAGCAGCTATCGATAACCTCACCTAGCAAACAACAGCATAAAACAAATATACAATAATTTGGCACTCATAAGAAGAAAAATTAACTTAGGAAAAACGAATAAAAAGATAAATTTACCTCTTTGTCATCTGAAGCGGTTTTCTCGTAAAAAACGTGTATCATCTCTAAGAAAAATGCAAAAAAAACCTTTTTTTCGATTTCGTCGCGCAATCGCTGTTCATCGATCTTCACTCACTTAGGCGCCCGAAATTGTGCAGTTTTGGGAGCTTTGCACCGCAAAAGAACGTCATCTGCGATGTTTCGTAAGTTACTCGGGAGCAACTTACGAAGATTTCCTCTGTGCTCTCCTCTTTAGCACAGTATTTACCTTATGTCGTCGCCCGGCTCATCTGCGATGACTCAGTCGGGAGCTGGTCTCCCTGCCGGGCTTCATCTGAAGTTCACCTGTAGGGTGACCTTGCATACTTACACCACGGAAAAGTGGGCAGTCCTCATCTCACCCGACAAAGCCTCATATGAGCCCCTCAGGGGAGATCATCTCCCGTGACCGAGCTTTACTACGGGCCTAATACTCCAGTTTTTTTTGATGGGCTTGTACTCAAGAGTATAAGAAGCAAATACATATAGGCTGTATTAACTGTCGGTCTCGCTTTGACATGCTTTGCGAGCGCGCACGGTCGCATGCGACGTGCCTTAACGCTCAGCAGTGTTCGCACGCATCAAACCGCACCGTCGCATAACCGATGCGGGTTGGTGCAGCCTGTATGATTTGCATACAAGAATATGTGGAGAATTCGAACATACAGTGACATCAAAAATTGTTCAAAGACTTCCCCCAACGCTGTATAACTAACTATTAGGTTGATGCACAGTTCTTGCACCAAAAAATACGAAAAATCATTTCAAAAATGCTTAAACAGACTATTCAACTTACCCTATTTTCAGGTGTATAAGCCGCACCCTTTTCACTCTAATGGCAAACACGCCAAAAGACTGACTGTCATCATGGAGCGCGTTAAGTGAGAGCAGTGTGCGATAAGGCGACCGCTTCGCAAGACACATGCGCGGCGGCACGCCTGGGTCTGCTCGCGTTTAGAGCAAAAAGGGTGCGGCTTATACACCTGAAAATAGGGTACATGTTTTGCTCTGTGTTATGTATATCAAAAGTAGTATTATAGTACATTTTAGAAAATCAATTTGAAACAAAATCCATAGGTCATTTCAAAAAAATCGAAATTCGTAAATATTCGCAGAGACGCCCAATCACTACCAATTTCTCTCAGTTAAAAAGAGCATGCCATAAAACTTACAAGGGAATGGTCAGAAGTCGAAGTGGTCAACCCATACAAGCTGCATACCATTAGATGCAGTATGAAACGCTAATTCTAAATCTGCCTTCCTCATCTGCAGAGCGCTTTTGTGGACGAAATTATAAGCCGTTGAAGGCCATCATTTTACTAAGAAATTGTGCGTGTAAAATGCAAACTTGGCCATACAAAGCCCTCCTCGGCTCAGTGTTGGACCAAAACATGCAACTAGGTCACTTCATATGACCCGTACCTAGAGAGCTGAAACAGCAATAATGTGTCTAATTTGGCAATTTTTGTATGCGATTTTCTCGCAGTAAAGCTGGTCATAAGTTCGCCTACAAAGGCGCTCTGCAGATATGGAAGACAGATTTGAAATCAGCGTTTTATGCTGCATCGAATGGTATGCCACTTGCATGGATTGGCCACTTCGAGTTCTGACCATTCCCTTGTTAGACCAAAAATAAATTTAAATTCCAGTGGACGTTTTAGCAATTTTAATGACTAAAAATCGAAAAAACACTTTTTGGATATTTCTCTTGTTCA